TTTTTTTTTTATCTGGAGGCGGGTTGTGAGTCAGATCTGACTAAGCACCAGCTCATCACGCTTAACTAGGCCCTTGGAAGATTGATACAACCAGGTCGCAACATATATCCATCCATATTAGTGCCATTGTATTATATTCCGAACAGTTTTTCATCCTCATTCATGTTATAAGATATAGTTATGTGTATATATCTCCACCTATTTACGTGTTTGAGTTGAAAAGGCAGGAAGGAAAATCACGAAAATAGGAAACAAACATAGATCAGGAAATAAAAAGGAAACCTTGGACAAAGGAAATCGCCCCGGCGAGCGAACGAAGGCCGGCGGGTGGCAATTAGGTCAGCGTTTGACATAGATGAGAGAACTTGGGGGCAGAAGTCAATTGGGCATATGCAAAATATATATGTATTTAGTAGGAAAATTGGAAAAAAAAGAGCAACTCTGAACTCCTTCCAAACAGCCCCTTAATAACCGAAATATAACAACGACATAATAAAGAAAGGAAAAGAAAAAAAAGAACAAAAGAAAAAACACAACAGGGCGAGGGAAAAGTATAGCCCATTTCTATAGCTCCAACAAGACAAGTAAGAAAAGAAAAAAGAGTTAAGGTAGCCTAGCCAAGTAAGAAAAGAAAAAAGAGTTAAGGTAGCCTAGCGGCTTGCTTCGCACATTCATTCTGCATTTAGCAGACAAAAATATGGGGGGACAATTGAGCTACAGAGAGGTCAAATTTCTTATAGAAATAAACTAGTCAAAACACGCTAAAGGGAAACAACAGAAGCAGAGAAGACTGGTCTGATAGCAAGCCAGTGAGGAAAAAAGGGGATGTCGTCAGATTGGCGCAATGAAGAACAGTAAGGTAACGTTTATCAAATTCTGTCGCTACAGGTGGGTGGGAATTCAATAAGAATTTTTCTGTTGCTTCATCTAACCTGACGCTGAATCGCCGACCACCGTGTCATCAAGGTGTGCAGTTACCAACGAGACGCGTTGGTATGCATCCTCTATGCTCGCACACAGTTGGTCAAAGCGTACCATCGTCGCTGTGCTGACACCGATATAGGCAGTAGATCCTGCTTGTTCTTGCTGCTTAGGGAAGCTCTCATCGTCAACGACAAGATCGATTCGGGTAAACAATTTTTCCGGCGTGATGCCACCAAACGTATCTTCGAATGTCAGCGTCGGTGCTATTGCTGGAGAGCTAGTGCTCTTTGGCTGATCGTAGAACAGGGCGAGAGATGGATCCGACTCATCGATTTCCATCTCAGTATTTGGCTTCATACTCTCCATTCCCTCTTTTTCGGCCGAATCATTAACCGCTGGGAGTGGTGGTCTTTCAATCGACGGCATTTGTTCTTTACTTTCCTCGGATGAGGAGAGGGGCCCGACAGAATTGGATGATTTGCCCGACAAAATAGCACTATCGAGATTAGGGCCTTCGGGGACGTCCATTACAGCGAAGACTGGTGTATTGTTATAGCTTATGTCGATGCCGGTATTCCAGGCGGGGGTATTCATGTCCATCCCTGCGAAATCAACTGCTTGCTCGGGAACCATGGCCAAGCCGAGTTGGTTATTCTGCATTTGGATATCTGCAGAAACGTGAGACGGATTGGGGTCCTTCGGGGCCTGCTGCTGTTGTTGCTGTGGTGGTGGCTGCATTGCAGTCTGCTGTTGCCCGGGCTGGGGAGAAGGTAGACCATTTATAGACATGTCGTTCAGAAATGATGCGAAGTGCGGAGACGACAGGAGCATGCGTGTGAGATCCATGAGACGAGCATTTTCTTCCGCCAACGCACGGTTCTGAAGGCGAAGATCATTTGCCTCGTTGGTCTTGGAGGCTACTTCTCCTTCAAGCTGGCCGATATATTCTGTTTCCAAGTCGTTAGATGAAATATTTCACTAACAAAAGTGCAATTGAGGGGTCTTACCTTTGCGTCTGGATCTGAATGCCCGAGCAGAGACCTTATTTCGCAATTGACGGCGTTCCTTGCTGCTGAGTTTCTTGCCTTCCTCACTGGCCAAAAGGCGTTCATCCTCATCCATTTCATCCTCGTCCTTCTTCGGTTTTGAGATATGTGAAACATTCTGGGGCTTGGAATCTTCCTCATTCACGGCAGTAGTAGTCACGCTGCTCTGTCTCATCTGGTGCAGAAGACGGGAAATTCGCTCTTCAACGACAGGATCGCTGGAACGACTGGCCTTGTTTTGGGGCTTCGATGCTTGGCGAGCATGTTGTTGTTGTTGTTGCTGCTGCTGCTGCTGCTGCTGTTGCTGTTGCTGATTCTGTTGCTGATTCTGTTGCTGCTGTTGACGGATCATCTCCTGCTGTCTCTGATGTTGGGCAGCCTTAGCCATCGCAGCCTGCTGTTGATGCATTCCAGGATACATGCGTCCCACTTGGTTCGGTTGGGTGAGCGTCGATAATTCGTGACCACCCAGGGCATTGGGGTCCACAAACTGGGCTTTATTAGTTGCAGTAGTAAACTGCGGACTAAACATGAAATCAGTTGGCGTATCAGGCTCCAAATCGAGACCAATACCGGAATTCCTGAATGATGGCATAGTTGGCAGAGGCGAGGAACCAAAGTTAACGATCTCTTGAGTGGGGTTTATAAGGGCCTCGGACGGCATGAGGAAATTATGTTGATTCCCAAACCCCAAATCCATTCCCACATTCCGGTTAATAGCCATTGTGTTGGCTAACCCGCCTGGAGGGAGGCCAGTCTGCTGTTTGTAGGAATCATATTCATGGCTTGGACCCGAGAAAAAAACTTGGGACGACGATTGCTGGCTCGTGGTGGTAGTGTTACTGTTGGATGAAAAGTTCGGACCTGCCGTAGGAGTTGACACAGGGCTCGTGTTCATCGTAGTTTTAGCTCTGGATGAAGCGGGGGAAAGTGATGGAGAAGGGTAGATTGACTGGTCATAGTTGATAAAAGAGTCGATATCATTTGGATCGACACAACTGTTCACGTGGGAGAGAGGGGAGAGGGACGACGAAGTTGAGGAAGACGGCTGCAATTCTCCCGTAGTAGCCATGACGAAGAAGGGGTGGCAAAGAAAAGGAGGGTATGTGAGCGTGCGAGACGGTCTCAGCGGACGATATAGGGGAAAGGGGATAGTTCGACCCGAATCTAGCGGAAGGACACCTCGAGAAGGGGTTAGGGCTATGGAGGGGGGGAATTGACCTTCGCAATGGGGGAAAATATCGAAGGGAAATATCGAAGGGCGGGAGACAACTCGAGAAGAATTGGGTTGTTGGTATAGCAGAGATATCAAAATGAATGGCGGGTTCGATGTTGAGTGGGTGATGGATAGATGTGTCGTTGTCGGGGTGGTTTGATGGCAGGTGGTTGATGGGACGAGATGAGGTTTCACGATGATGATCGATGGTGGAAGTTCTGGAAGGCGTGCGTGCTTACATACTCCGTACACAGTGACCCGTCTGTATCGGTGGGGAATGGTACAGTGTACCTGTTACACGTAATGTATAGTACATGTACATGTACATTATGACATTACACACACACACACACACTGTCTCAGACACGGCGCCGGGCTGTTTCGGGCTAAGCGAACAGCGAGGGGCCTTATTAGAGGCTGAGCCAGCCAGTCTGTGCTGGGACACGCGTCCTCTTGGCATGTAATTATGCTTCGTATTCTGCGTATTCTTACGACTCCGAATCCGTGGACAATACGGGAGAATAATACCAACACCACCTCATTTCACAGGCATCTCATTACTGATGGTTCTACGAAACTATTCTATATCAATTCATTCACCAATAAACCTCCAGGTTATCCTGCCTCCCGTTTGGTCAAAAACTTCGATAACGGCCACCACCCACCGGTGTTTATAACTTTATCTGGCTGCGCTTCCCCTCGCCATTATTATATTATTATTGAACCAAGGAAAACGTGCTGGAGCCATCCATTATTCCCATCTCTCTCTCCACTTTCCCTGATCCAGGCTGGATGCAACTTGCAAGTGTACCCTCCTAGCCCTCATCCTATCTTGGCATTCTAGCCTACCAATAATAGGCCGTCACGGTCTCGCAAGGCACTAACCACCGTTGGGGCCTTACGCTGAACTTGTGTAGGCCTTACCTGGGCGGGTTCTTAACCCTAAGATCAGTTAGAATTAGCGCCCGGGATCCCCCGGGTGGACACCTTACGCTTGACGATGATTCGCTATAGCGCACCCCGGGGCCCCCGGTACCGTTTTATTGTTGAACAGCGGAAACTGTGGTTAAAAAAAAAAGGGAAGGCCGCCAATAGGGGCCCCGTGGTGCCACCACTGGCCCACCAGTGCCTGCTGAGTCAGTCCTGACTTCCTTGCCGCTACTCTGTACTGTACTGTACTGTTCTCTTTGGATTTTTTGATTTTTTTTTAACTGTTATTGAATTACTGTCTATTGCTAATATTAATGAGAGAACTAATCTTGTAATCTATTTTTATTACATTTTTGAAGAAATTGGCAGCGACAGAGTGCTCCAAATCCAATGCTACTTCAGTCACAATGTCTCATATTCTATCCCTCTCTGGCGGCGAGGCACAATTAGCGTGGTTTTTAGTGTGTATTTTAGCGTATTAAATACACGAAAACTACTAGATTATATGACAGATTGACTGTATTGGCATGTTCTAGTGTAATTTATGTAATTTATTTGATCTTACCCTAATTGAGATATAGAAACTCTAGCTTTTTATCAGTTACATACAACAAGTATGTACAGCACAATCAGATCTTGATCTTGAAGCTCTATTTTTATTCTTAATTACTGTCTTTTGTTTACACTGATATTAGACACAAGCTTGAGTAAATAACAGAGAAATTTGACAATGATTTAAAGCTGAATTTGATATGTAAAAAGTAGAGAATTTAAAAACTTGAAGAGTTGATAATAGAGTAATATGAAACAGAATCATGAAATAGAGTAGTGTCAGTCAGACTCAGTCTCAGTGTCAGTAGTTAGTAATCAATTGATGAATAATAATATAAGCATTGACAATAACATAATTGATAATTCAGTATAGAATTGCCAATCAGATGCAATTAATTAGAATTTGAGTCTTATAGAAAGCTCTATACTGATTTGCGAGATCAATCTCATTCACATTGAAGAATTGGAAATCACCTGCAGAAGCCATATATGATATTTCTCTCTCAAGAAACTAGGGCTAGAACTAGAGAGAGAAAGAGGAGAGGAGAAGCGCATTCACAGTGAATATGAAGATGAATCAAGATGATGGATGGGAAAGTTGACAGCAAGAGCATGTTTACTATTTAGAGCATGAATCTGTATCAACAAATCAGATTGTATAGAATTTAGTATGACTGTATGAGAAATTATTGATTGGTACTTCTGAACTAACAGCTTAGTTGTTCCATATTTCACATCTTGATGCCTCAGCCATCTGTTGCCTGTAACTTATGTGGTGACCATGATCCGCCTTCGACTGTGTACCGATCTGCCAGCTCGCATTCTCCACCATGTCTGCAAGTCATCCACAGCCTGCTACTCCCAGTGAGTTTGCTACTGCTGAAAACATACAGTTCAACATTGTTAATCTGATACAGCACTGAGTCCAAACCATCAAATTTTTTTTTCGTTTTACCCGTGGCCGATTCATTCAAAATGAAGCTCATGAAATGGCGCAGATGATACGTCCACTTTGATGTTGAGATGTAAGCTCATGTCGGGGCGGCGGCTGCTGGTGTCCACTGTTAATCCTGCCTCAACATCGAGAAGTACCCTGATGGCATGGACTGTACATGTACATTACAGAGTACAATAATACTGCCAGTGGAGTAGCGACAATGGAATTGTACTTGCCCATTCTCACCCCCACTATTGAGTCCCTGTTGATTTATTGTGAATAGGTGCGAAGCATATGCAAAACTCGTTCTCAAGATTTATCCATGGAACTTGGAGACCAAACTCCGTGGTGCAGAGTATATCATTATGGTCCCGGCGTGCTGCTAGATTGGAAATTGGGGACCGCCTCACAGTAGTAAAAACTTTTGCTCAATGCTAAGAAGCATGGATGTCTGTTCCATTCAATCACTTTGATTGGTCTGTACTTTGCTCAAGATGTTCAATGCATTTAGACATCAAAGCATGTCTTACAAAAAAGAGAAGGTCACATATTGGATGAGAGGTTTACCATCGGGCCATCCACAGGCAGAGAGAATGTTGATAATGGGAGAAGTACTGTTGAATATGACCGTGGAACCATGTAAGTCCCTTCCTTCATTATGAGTTGTAAAACTCTCAAACTAAGAGAACATAGAGTCAACAGTGATAGAGTGTATCTTACAGTCATAAGCTGTTGCAAGATCGCCTGTGTGAAACACTCTCAAATTTGCCCAAATCACCAATTGCACTGCAGGGACATACCAGCCCACAAGAACAAGAAAACTCAAAGCTCTAGAGAGCTATCTCACCATGATCAAATATCTCTGTCCAGTTGATCAATCTATAACATGATCATGTCTCTGGCACAGTGATCTCCACATGAAAATATGGTTGGTTGGGTGAGAGGACAAATGTGATATTCAACATCCTAGTGTAGAGGCCTGTTAACTCTTGATTCATTCTCATTTTAGTTGGATTTAGGTCCCTCCGGGTTGTTGGGCTGGCCAAGGCCACCACCCTGCAACATGGGATGGGAGATGTATCCCTGCTATCCCTGCTGCTCTGAGCCACGCCGGCTCCTAGCCGATTGGACCGCGTCAAGTTCCAACGAGGAACGCTTCTCAAGAACATGAGAGGAAAAGAGAAGAAGGGGGCTGTGCTACTCTCCTCGCCGAAACTTTGACCAGGCTTGTGTTCCAGCTGTCAGAGGGTGGCTGCCCGCCTCTTTCTCCAACTGGCTACATTTGCTCTGCCAGCGAGTGAGACCGCTTTGGCATAACTACGGAGTACTACTGTACAGCGTAAAATGATCGTGTCATGCTTTAAAATAGAAACAGAAATAAACCCGACGCTAAACCAGTGCTGCCAAGCCGCTCTCCGGCACTTCAAAGCTGTCAAATATTTGCCCCTTTGGGCGATGGTGAAATCGTCTACTGCGTGTACATGTACATGTACTTGGTTTATCCGCTTACCATTATTGTGCGCCTCTCTCGTTGTCTTTTCCTGCATCCTCTGGCGCTGACAACCAAGGCGTGACGACTTCGGCCGAAGCGAAGGTAATCAGGCATCAGCATTTCAGCGGATGCGCTACGGCGAAAAGTCATCCAGAACGACGAATAATTGAAGACTGCTGCGGCCAACGTCCAGGCCAAAACTGCCTGTCCATGGGCTCTGTCTTTCGGGAAGATCAATCCATCCATAAAGATCTCACCCTGTCTCATGCGCATCCACCCCCAGGGCCCAATTGATTTTCTTCAGCTAACTTGGTACCTATCAGCAACAGCGCATTATTTCGGAAATACTCATGCCCCTCCACCTTCTCTCAAGCAAACTCTCCGTGCGGCTTTTGATGCGAGAAAACTATAGCCTATCATAGTAGATGCAGGACGTTTATGTGTATTACATGCATCGCTCGCTGGACGCTGCGTAAGGAGACATGATAATTAATCTCCGGCAGATAACAAGGCCAAATCCCAATTCACCACGGAGAAGCATCCTCTACCCTCCTTTCCTACTTGTACACGTACATTTACATGTCCCGTACATACATACATGTAGATGCATGGGCATGGGCAGGAGTAGTTTTGAACAATCCAACCCAAAAAACCGTCCACGAAACCCTTGTGCTCAGCCACTATGAAAATATAGCTAGAAGCAAGCCACACGCCTTTCTTCACAGTTGTCTAAGACAACAGCAACCGATGATATTGACATACAGCGAAGAAATTCCCTTGGGGACTCCTTCTATGTGTTGTTGCTCACCCTCTCTATATCCGAAATATTATTAATTCTATTCTATTTCTCTCTATTCAATAACTACAGATCATGGCTGGCAACATGAATTCAACAACGCGCTCATTGCGGAGTAACACAATAATTCCATCAGAAGAGCCGTCTGTCCAGCAACTGTTGAACAACATCCGGAGAGTAATTTTAGAATCTAAGGATCAGGGCCTGACTTTTTCGGATATTCCCTCTGCCGCTGGACTTCAACTTGCCACCTCGTTTTCAAAGATCCAGACATCGAAAGGGCTCTTCCTCGGTAAATTTGATAAGTTTTTCACTGACTGTTATAACAGTTGTAGTTTACACTATACACTTCTTTAATTTGAAATATATTTTTTGAAGAATGATGCTGTCACAGAATCCGAGTGGCCGTGCCAACGCTTCTATACAAGGGAGCGAGATTATCGAAGATTGCAGCGCTGAGATATTTATATATCCGCTGAATCCCTATGCCCGTTTGAAACGTTATATGGGCATCAAGATTTGAGGATGGGAATAACTCAAGCTTCTGACACAGTTCTATATAGCTCTCACATTCTGAGAGCCAACGATCCGTTCTGAATATATCAAGACTTACTTGTTCCTGCATAGAAACCTTCATACTACTTCTTAATTCTACCATATATATGTAGCATCCAGGTTGGTTGACCAGTTATCCTAAGCAACTCAGCGCCGCCATGTTACAGTATGTGTAACATCCGAGCTACAGTACTAGGTAAAACAATCAGATAACACTCTTCAGTCTTTTGAATGTCATTAACGGTCTCTTATCATGCAATAGGATAATGTAGGCTACTGGGGCAAAAGAGCTCAGTCACCACCAGCGCACTGCTGGTAGAAGGGCCGATCAACCCGGGACCCCCAACAGATAATCTTAAACATGATTACAAACTGTCAGAATTAACTTGATGCAGCATTATTTATTCAGAGTATAACTACGTAGATATCAGAAGTTCCCGATCGGGTTTATCCGTGGAACAAAGTTTCTCCGTGTCGACCTTAATTTGGTTGGATGGCCAATCTCAACAGCCAAAAAAATATATATATATATATAAAAAAGGACGAGGGGATAGACAGTGAAAGGGAAAGTATGATAACTACGAGTAACATAACCCTTTGATATGAATCTATGACACGCTTGTTTGCTTGCCATCTTGATCAATACATTTCGAGCAACAGGTCAAAATTGCGCTTTCTCGCTTCCTCAGGGCCCTGTCGGGGGCGAGGCGCGCCCTCCAAACATCCAGCATGGCCGCCCCTCCAGAGCCGACAAGGAAGAAGTTGTTCGGTAGGGAGTTTTACGAGAGCCTGGGAAGCCCGAAGATGATCCTGGCTCCCATGGTGGATAGGTCGGAGTTTGTAAGTTGATCTGCGCCCTTCTCTGTCAATATGCCAAACAGATAACTTTACATCTGTCTCTACATGGATCGCGAGGACTGTAAGCTCATTGGGTTTTATATGGGGACGATAGGCATGGCGCATGCTCACTCGATCCTTCATGGACTCTAATTCCCCTCATCCCCTTCTCGCCTACTCTCCCATGTTTCATGCGCGCCTCTTCAAGGAAAGCCCTGGTTATCGCTTGCAGCATTTCGAAGCGACTCGTCCAAAGCCACCAAGGTCACCTTGTACGGACGACGGGGAATCACCGTTGCCCGGCGACATCCGATATCTAGACGGCAACCCCGCCCTCGACCGACCCCTCATAGTCCAATTCTGCGCCAACGACCCAGACGACCTCCTCCAAGCCGCCCGCACCGTCGAACCCTTCTGCGACGCCGTCGACCTAAACCTAGGCTGCCCGCAGGGGATCGCCCGCAAGGGCCACTACGGCGCATTCCTCCAAGAGCATCCAGACTTGATCTACAAGCTCATAAACACGCTGCACAGGGAGCTCTCGATCCCCGTCACGGCGAAGTTCCGTATCCAGGAGACCAAGGAGAAGACGTTGGAGTATGCGCGGATGATACTTTCCGCCGGGGCGAGCATTATTGCCGTCCACGGCCGCCGGCGGGAGCAAAAGGGGCATAACACCGGCTTAGCGGATTGGTCTTATATTCGCTATTTGCGAGATAACCTACCGCCTGATACGGTTATTTTCGCAAATGGGAATATTTTGAACCATGGGGATATTGAAAGGTGTCTGGAGGCTACGGGGGCGGATGGGGTGATGAGTGCGGAGGGGAACTTGTGTGACCCGACGATATTCACCACGCCGCCGGCACGGAGCGCCAGCGGTGATTGTCCTGGGTATTGGGTAGGGAGGGATGGGAAGGGGGGTTATCGTGTTGATTTCGTCTTGCGTCGGTACATGGATATTATCTACACATATGTCCTTGATGTCCCGCCGCCCGTGAGGAAGCCGCTCTATGTGTTTTCTCCCCCTGCCACCTCCTCCAGTAACGGCAACGCCAGCAACAACACTGCACACTCAGACTCTACTCCCGCCCTCCTACCCGCCGAAGGAGCCGAAGAAAAGAACGAAAACGAAAAACACGCAGGCAACGACGCCGAACCCCCAAAAAAGAAACGCAAAAGAAATAAAGAGGCCGCCAAACCCACCTCACCCAACCTAGTCTCCATCCAGGGCCACCTCTTCCAACTCCTCCGCCCCCTCATCTCCAAACACACTCACATCCGCGACGCGCTCTCCAAATGCCGCGCTAGCCGGATGCCGGAGATCGAAAAAATCGTCTCACTCGTCGAAGGGGCCGTCCAGGCCGGATTGCAGGAGTACGAAATGTTCCCGGAGCGTTTTGAAACACAGGGAGGAGAAGGAAAAGAAGAAGACGAAACCTGTCCTAGCTCGAAAGCCACGGTGGCACAATACAAGCGGCCTTGGTGGGTATGTCAGCCGTACGTGCGGCCGCTGCCAGAGGAGGCGCTGCAGATCGGAGCGATACAGCCTAAGAAGAGAGATATTCTTGCCAAGAAGAACGAAGGGGTAGCCGGGAAGGTGGTGGAGGCGGCGAAGGGCAATATTGTTGATGGTGATAGCGGAGTTGCGAGGAAAACGCCCGATGGGGCGTTGAGCGGGTCTGATAAGGAGAATTGAACCCGCACGTCCGATGGGGCGGATAAGCTGGTCAGTGGCTGAGTTTTGTGGGCTACAAGTCTACAACAGAGCAGGAGGACTCGACCAAATGGGTGTCCATGTGCAGTTTACTGTTCCTGGCCCTTGTGGGCATTGTTATGTATAGCATCCCGTGGGGCTAGGTGGATGGTTAGGCCGCTGCCCCGCGTGGCTCGAACATTATGTACCCACATGCCGGTCCCTACTCGCCCATGTGTTTCACAGTTTCACACACCCATTGACGAGAACATGTCCAGCCTAGTGGTATCAGCTACTTTGCAACTATATGCCCTTTTGACCTTGAAGAGAAGGGAAGATGGAAAAATCAAACCCGAAATAATATCCTACGGATACGCGAAATTTGCAACCTACCCAGGCGCAGTCGATATGTGCATGGGCACCCAGCCTACCCTTGGAATATTTTACATGATCGACAAGCATGTCAACATACCTACACCATTCTAGACGGAGTTGGTTGTTTTTGACTTTCGAAACCATGAAGCGGGCGTTTGGATAAATTTAGAAAAAAATGAGCATAGAGGTTTTTATTTTTCTCATACCACACGGTCGATTGGGATAGGCGAATAACTATGCATTTTTGTTTTGTTTATAAGTTTGTATGTGGACGAGCGCTGTCTAATATATACCCAATTGAAGCGCCATATCCGCCTCCTGTTGATATACGGCTGGATTAGAAACCACTGCATAGGCTGTTTGATAATGACAGTTGATTTCCTTTAGCTCCAGAGCACTATACTGACAAAAATTACACATACAGTTCCTTGCATCCAAATATGGGGGGAGGTGTATCCCACCTTCTTATTCATCATATTCTCATTTCTCATATTACAAAATTGAGTCTATTGTTACTTTTCAACCTGAAATAAATCACTCTACTCCATGAATTCCAGGGGATCTGCGTCTGCATTTCACAATGCACATTCTCCATACATTGATGGGCTTTCCATTGAGTGTTCTTCCCAATACATCCAGGCTGATGGTTCCTTCTCTTTTTCCTATATATATATATTCGTTTCTTCTACTTGGGATATTTCTGTCCCCCAGCGCCTTCCCGCATTTTAGTTGGGAATTATTGCGGGAGTTCTGCAGTTTCATACCCCATGGAGAAACAATATTGCCATCATCGCCTTCATCATCCTCATTATCACTCTGGTATCACTCTAGATGTCGGCCTGTTCTTCAGTCTGGCTACAGACAAGCAAAGTGAATGACTGCAGGACTGCAGGTCTCTCAGACAACTGTGCAGACAAGTCAACAGGTTCAGGTATCATCATCATCACACACAAGAAGAACATTCATCTCAATTCCTTTTTCTCTTGTCTGCTGCAGTAAACAAAAATCTCTTCTCTGCATCAACTACTACCACCTCAAGAACTCCTGCTGTACACTAGTCTATAAAAAACGAAGAACCTTTGTTACTCATCCCAGCATGGCATCACCAGCCCGCTCCCACTCAGGCTGTCTCTCAGACCCAACTCCCATAGAAAAGCTTCCAACGCTGGCCTCCCTCAATTCCTCCGTCCAAAGCAACCCAGTTAACCCCAACAAGCGTCTCTCCACAAAGCCCAGTCGACGTCTACGCAAGGGCCCTGGCAAGCTCCACGATAACAAAATCAGCATCACCAAGGAGCTGACTCGCGGGACTCCTACTGATGGGAATCCAAACCGGCCCCTGAGCAAGTCCCTCAGCCAGCTAGACATCGCGAGGAAAAGAAGCCAATACTTCAACGAAGCGTTCACTTCTAGAGAGCCCTATCATAACCCTAGACATCGGATCAATCTGGACTCTGTCGTTGTTGTTGAGATTAAGACGAATGTCTTTGTAAGATATACAAAGTCCTCCTGTTTGCTTACCTGCAGTTTGAAACCTGACATGAAAATTTTTTGGAAAAAAATACAGTAAAACAAAGGAAATGGTCAAGCTAACCAACGACATCCAATCTAAATACAGCTGGAAAATGACTTCCAGAGCCTCTCAGAGCTCTCCTTCAACCTCGCCCGGATCTTCCAGCGCCCAGAGGCTTCAATCCTCCTTTGCGTCGAACACAACTGCTGCCTGATGCTTGCTAGTAGTTACGAGCCCGCCTACCTGGTCACCGTCTCCGCCTTGCCATGCTCAATCGCACCCATAACCAACCTGCGCCATACCGTCCTAATCCAAGCCGCCATCTTCGACATCTTCGACATCCCCAGCAACCGCGGCGTGATCAAATTCGAATCCATGGCGGAAGAAAACCTTGCCACAAACGGCTCTACCATCCGCGACGAGATTGACCAGCTCGAACGCACCTCGAATGACGAACATAGCATCTTCAAGACCCTCTCGCACACCGTCAGTCGCAGAATGAAATCGAGCACGTCGAACGGCAATAACAGCATTGTCAGGCCTAATACTCCTGTTCATGGGTTGCAGAGTTTGGATAATAGCAATTACAATAGTAATACCACCACCAATAATAATACTAACAATAATAATAATACTAACAATAATAATGGCGAAAGCGGTTTGCCAGTCGACGGGGAGGAAGAGCCTGCTTCCCCCAGGCGGGTGGGATTCAGGGGTAGGGACCGCGTCATTAAGAAGTGTCAGAGTATCAAGCAGCTGTTCTTCCGTTGAGAATGATTTTTTTTTCTCTGTAAATGCGTATTCTTCTCTCCTTTTCGTCCAAAGAAACACAGCTGGCCGGGTTGGCTGTGGGGCTTATCGATTCCTTATAGTCATTTACTTCTTCTTATTCTCCCTTGTCTTTTAGTATTTATGAAACCCATTCTAAAGACTGTTGAGTTAGGTAAATAGTATTCTTCGCAATGTATATAGTTTCGTGGAAAGGAGATGGAGCTGGCACGTCTGATGTGCCATCACATCGGCCTATTTATGGTTTTTAAGCCCCTTTCTGTGCGGAATGTGTTGACCGGTTCTGATTTTCGCATGGGATATGAAATATCTGCTCCAACATTTTCCTTGTTTGTAAACAAGGTGAATATGTTTATTATCATAGGCGCATGCATGTGCAATGAATAGACTACTCAAATGATGAGTTGAAGAAGAAGACGAAGAAAATGAAGAGCAGCGTCACCCCTCACAATGCCATGAAATTGTTTTGGTGATTCCTATCATTAATTTCTATTCAAATAAATAACCCGTATAAACAGCCTGTTATTTGCATTTCTGCTCACCTTTCCCCCCATCATAAATTCATCTCCATGCACAATATTTTCCTTCTTCCCTTGTGACATCAGAAGAAAACGCGGCAACTATTTAAACCAATTCAACCCGGGCCAGCTTTGTCCAGTTTTCATACATGATGAGCATCATCACTGAAATCGAGGGTGATCTCTTTGATGCGCCGGAGGGCACCGCTTTGATTCGTACGCCTTTTATTATTCAAGATACTTATTTGTCTCCTTATTCTCCTTTGGTTTGCGATTTGTTTATTCCCCCTTGCTGACTTGCTCTGCCCATGGATAGATGCATGTAACTGCCAGGGGTCGTGGGGAAAAGGCATCGCGAAGGTTTTTAGGGAGAAGGTATGTATATAAATATATATTTACATGAACGGATGAATTTTATAATTACACAATACACACATCTTTGTTGACAAACCCACCCCCCTCAACCCCCTTCTTTGTCCCGCAGTTTCCCGCCGCCTACCAAATCTTCCGCGCCCACTGTCAACAATATCTCTCCCACCCGCAAACACAAACACATACAGGCCCGCAGCTACGCGCTCTCAAGTTGCCAGAGGGCACGGCGCTGATAATCCCACCACAACCAGCGGACTATCAGCCACTACCGCAGTCGCAGCCGCAGCCCCAGACAGGACCAGCATCGCTATCAAACCGTGGCCGGGGACAGGGACGCGGGCGTGGACGAGGTCGTGGCGGCAGGGGAGCCGGTGCGACATTCTTATCAAGGGTGGCGGGGAGGAAGCATTGGATCATCTGCCTATTCACATCATGGCATTACGGCCCGCGGAACCGGAGCCCGCCTGATGTCATTCTTGAGAATACGAGGTTGGCTATGGCGGATCTGAAGAGGCAGGTTGCTGCTGCTGCTGCTCCTTCTACTACTATTACGACGACGTCGACTGCGGTTGCGGTTGGGGATGATGAAGTAGAGCAGCCGGGGGAGTTGTGGGGTTGTAGATTTAATGCGGGACTCTTTGGGGTGCCTTGGGAGCGGACGAGGGAGGTTTTGGAGGAGGCGGGATTGGCAATGACGATTGTTAGGCCGCTGGGGGAGTCAGAATGAGGGCGGGAAGGGATAGTTACATGTACTTTTACGTTAAAAAAGGGCGCTTTGCCTTTTTTATGTATCTAAGGGGGTTAACTTTTCAATTGATGAGATGAATGTTTCTAAGGTTCCATTTCCAATGTCCTAATCAACACATTGGTTAGACGCTTGAATTCCTGTTACATGGCTGATGTTGAGCGGCGGGTATGGGTCGGATATTTATGAAATTCGAGGTCCTCCTTCCACTGATCCCGTTCACGGAGCATGGCTACTGTTGCTCTATAGTATTTACTCATGAAAAATTCATGCTAGAAATGAAAAAAGTAGTTATTTATGAGATTCATGTCACGTGGTCTTGTTCACCCCCCGAGACGCGACAAGCGCGTGTTCGCTTCAATTAGCAGATAACTCAAACGATTCCAATGGCATCAGGATGCAGCCAACTGAGAAACATTGTATAGAGAGCCGCTCGTCTACAATACGCCAATGGACCGTCCCACAACCCTACCAAAACGGAAACGCCCTCCGTTCAATCCTCCCCGCCCGCGAACAGCGAGCGGCATATCGAAACCCTCATCAGCGTCAACAAAGTCAAAACCAAATCTTAAGTCCACAGCCCGAACCACAACGCAAAAATCCACCGCTTCCTCTTCCACCATATCCCGTCGAAAATCTTCAACAGTTGACAATAACGACAGTGACGATGACATCCGCGTCTCACGCACACCATCCCGAACCCCCTCAAACCATGGCTCCCCTACATCCCCACTCGTCAGCACATCATCAGATAACGAATCCCACTCCCGCTCCCCTTCCGGCGAACCAGACTACATCCTCGCTGAAATCACCGAGCCTGAGCCTGTAGACCCACGCGAAGTGCTCGAATCCTCCGACCCACAGATACCGCCCAAACTTCTCACGACGCTCCTGCACCGGCACTTCCAGGACGACAAGACGAAGATCGCCAAAGATGCCGGGCGGGTGGTGGCTAAGTATGTGGATATCTTTGTGCGGGAGGCGTTGGCGCGGGCGGCGTATGAGAGGACAGAAGGGCAGAGTAGTAAATCTGGTAGTCGGGATGCGAGCGGGAGGGCGCGGGCGAAGGTTGATAGTTATTTGGAGGTATGCTTTTTTCTCTTAAATTATTTTTCCCTTCATTTTGGCTTTCTCTTATTTACGGGGTTTAATCCTTTTTGGGATTTTAGGTTGAGGATTTGGAGAAATTGGCTCCGCAGATGGTGCTTGATTTTTGATGGGCGTGGAAGTCTACAGATGAGAGTTTTTATGCCAAATGTTGGGATTACGGAGTGTGCACGTTGGCTTTGATCCAAGCGGCTGTTTTCGGATGGGATTTTGATTACACGGCGTAGAGGGATGGAGTTTTGCGAAGTCAATTGCAATTATCAACTACAGATGTATATTCACCTGCAACTCGGGTAAGGGAGGATTTTGGAGTATGGCGTTCAGGGAGGATATACGGAGGGCCGGTCAGCTACAAACGAATTGAAAACTGATGCGAAATAATACAAATATGATGAAGATGGTGCAAAGTAGACACAATAATTCAATATTAGATTGATTCAATGGCCCGCAATTGTTGGCGGTAGATGTCTACCAGCTACTCCATACAAAGGAATGATATCAACCAACCCCAAAACGAAACTAACTCCTAGCCACAAAAATCCAACGGTTATAAATCAGTGCTGGAGAGCAACCAACAATACTCTGTACAACTTAACTATTTTCGACCACACTTACTAAAAACCAGATACGTCGAGGATGGTCAAGTCTACCAACAAGATGTCGTGGCGTGAGGCTTGAGAAACTTCCTTCCCAGACACGGGAGAGACAGGAGGTGGCTCGAACCTCAAACATGCGATGCGACGCTCTTCAAACTCCTCCACGCTTCACAATCACCATCTCATTCATGCATGGAACAGTGATTGTCACCGACCGCAATGACTTCTTGCTAGTCATTCGTTCCGAAAGATAGGATGGAGCCCTCAATTCAGGACTGCCCGCGCCGCTAGGGCGCTATCCCAGGACAGCGACCATTCATTCTCATTGATGCCAAAAGTCTACATCAGATATAGAGAATTCTATTTCTTGGAGATCTCCCATCCTTAGACGCTGTCAGAGGGTGATATTATCTGTTAATGTACTTCGTGCATAGCAGTTCATCATTCAGGTCTTTTTCTCTTGCGTATTTGATGATCCCAGGAACTACCAAGCCCTTACCTCTCTTCTAGAGTCATAATGGGCGCAATGGCTGCGACGACAATTGCGTCTGATATCCGTTCTCTAAACCCGAAAGGCAACATGATTCTGCCTCTCCATCTCTTTAGGGCATATCCATTCCTATTGGGGAAATTCCCAGGGCCACGATGCTGCTATTCCTGATACCATCGTGGGAACCTGCGACGCGGCAAGTCCCGTTCCATATTCAACCCCCTGGTTTCCACAGCGCAAGGCCTTAATTTAAGACTCGAATAGTCAGTATTCTCAATGCGTCTTAAGTCTATACTTTTCCCCTTGTTTCTGAGCTTCCCTCTTCCCTTCCCTTCTCTTTCATCAGGCTCTGTGAGAAAACTGCTTTCTTTCATGTTCCGCGTTCCCTCTGTTCTTCTTTTCATATAAATTTCCTAATCTTATATATTCCCTTATACGCATAGATTTCACTCGTTCACTTCGACAAAAATAAAGTGCTAGCCGCTTGTATTTATATTATCCCCTTTTTTTGTCTGTTTTTTAATTGCTTTCTCCTTTCCCTTCCTTCGTTTCTTCATATACAATATTGGCTAGCCACCGTCCACCCGTTCACGAACGTAAATCACAAACCACAAAACCTACATCTCCAAAAATGTTGTTCAGGGGAGTATTAGCATCGACTGCGCTTTTGGCCACAGGAATACACGCGCAAATCGAAGAGGATGTCATCGCTGGATGGGCCCCGATGAAACGAGAGTCCCCAGAAGGCATGGTTACGGTCCACGCTGTGCAAGTTGGCAATTCAGAAGGAAGCCAGAGGTTCTATCCAGACTCTCTTACAGTTGAACCTGGCTCAATGGTCCAGTTTCAGTTCCATCCAGCGGTGAGATAAAAAATCAAATCCGGAAAAATATCATTTCTGATTCTGGAGGGGAAGGCAGGCTTCTAATGGTAGTCGTATATAGAACCACTCCGTCGCGCAGTCCACATTTGAAGACCCCTGTTCGCCCATGAGTGATGGAACCGGGATTCGATCCGGATTCCTAGCCGTATCGCCTGATTCTTCAGACATGCCTGTGTTCACGGTTATGATCAACGACACCAATCCCGTGTGGTTGTTCTGCGGTCAGAATAATCACTGCCAGAATGGCATGGTCATGGTTATCAATCCGTAAGTCATGTCACCTTTTCTCTCGCTCTAGTGAACTCCTGCCTTCAATATTCTAATACATTTTTTCCCCTCCTTCCAGTCCCGATGCGCCAGATAGGGGCATCGAGGCATTCCGATCCCTCGCTACGAGTGGAGGAGGGGGATCCGGGGGTGATGGCGGCGGCATTGGCGGGATTGGTGGCATCGGCAGCATCGGCAACGGCCCAATAGCCCTCCCGACCGGCGGCGCATTCCCAACTCCTAACGGCGGCAGCGGTGGCGGAGTAGCACTCCCCTCTGGTGGAACTGTTCCATCTACCGTTGCTGCAGGCACCGCGACACCGACTCAAGGCCGTGATCCGTTTTCAGCTACACTCAACGCAGCATCCAGGCCAGTTTCTCATGTTGCTGGTCTCTCTGGACTGTTAATTGCTTCCTTTGCCATTTTTGGGTTGTAGATAGATAGATGAAGGATGTGTATGAAATTGATTGACGTTTGTCGTTGATGAAGAGGCGGTTTGAGGAGGTGTCGAGAGGGAAAGTTACTCTCTTTCCAATTTGTTTTTAGGTTCGTCTTAGTCTTTCTGTCCTAATCTTGCTTCCCTTATATTTTGATCCAAGATGTGTGTCTATTTCTTTCCCGGCTATGTCATGAATTTGGTTATTGTATATAATCCCTGCTGGCTGGCCTGCAAATGGCTCTGAGCCGAATGTTGTCCTTTCAGTCCCTTTCGGTGTCGGCTGTACGGAGTAGAACGAAACAAATGGCGCGATAAAAACGTCCACTTGTTATACCCTTAAGAAGTTGTGAATTAAGTCTCCCAGCTTAATTCTGAAATAGCTTGATATTTGGAACAAATAACTCTGAAAATGGTGCTGCCCTGCTTGTTTATTCCGTGGATATGCATGTCTCAGCAGTGTTTGATCTGGAAGGGGGTCAATTAGAGTTAAGCTTGGCAAAAACCCGCGATTCCTTGGCAAACGCGCCACGCGAAGTTGTCAAGTCCTTCAGGTCTCACGTGTTAACATTTCTGGTAGGTATGCGAATATCAACTGCAAGCGGGAGATTTTGCATGGAATGCGCATTGCCCAGGGAAGTTATATAGATCAATATAAAACATGCCCGTCTCACGATCTATTCCCTAGCAATGAATGACGCTACAACCGCCCTGCTCACAGAGCACTTCAGCTACACCCCGCTCGTAAGTGCCCGCGAATCCACTACGAGCTGCTTGTGGAGGAGGATACTTATCTGCATATTTATCTAGTCCCTGATAGACGACGTAATAAACTCCATAAACAACCTGGTCTACCAAGCTATCTCTAGTCTCGAAGATGGCCTTTTGACCGCGCCACCAGAGCGACTAGGCTTCTCTCACGCCCCCGACACCATTCCGGATACAGACGACGATGGGAACATCCAGTACCCGGAAGCGCGGCTGGAGATAGAGAATGGACTACATCAATTGGAGACACTGCTGGAGGCGACGGTTGATAAGGCCTTTGACAAGTTTGAGATCTACGTGTTAAGGAATATCCTGACTGTACCGGAAGATCTGCTTGGATGGGTGCGGTTGACACATTACGAGGTGAGGGCAACCTATCAAACAAAACAATTTCTTAGGATACCGTCTCTAAGTAACTCTTACCTCTTCGTTTGTATATCAGAAACTCTCCCTCGGCCCCAGTCCTCCAAATGCCCCAACATTAGAATCAATAACCCTCCAACGGCAAAAATTACGCGAAACCAGAAAACTACAGCGTGCCCTACGCCAAGAATCCGACCGCAACGACGCAATAATCGCCCAACTACGCTCGATTCTCTTCAAAGACACTCCCCATCCACCCTCCGTAGACGAGAAAGAGGCAACAACACTAGCCATCCACTCCCAAAGAACTGCAACCTCAACCTCAACAACAACCACAACCGCAGACGCCCCGGACCTTTCCTTCCTCCTCACTGACCCCGCTGCCCGCCGCCTTCGCATTGGTGATGCCGCAGACCCTTCCCGCAACCCCATAACAACAAACACAACATTCATACTCTCTCAACTCCACGCGCTCCGCGCAATGCTAGCCCAGCTACGACCGAAGCTGACTTCCCTGCCCCAGTCCGCAGATGACATGGAGCTAGATCCCAGACGTGAGGAGAGAAGGGCGTATATTGAGAGTCGGACGCGGATGCATCTGGTGAGGAACGGGGAGTTGGGCCGGGCGGGGGAGGGGCATGGAGTTGTTGTGGCGGGACGGAGGGTTGAGGGGGAGGAGGTGCGTGCGTTAGAAGGGGTGGTAGGGATGTTAGGGGATGGTTGAATTTTGCGATCGGTTCTCCTTGTTTTTCGGTTTTTTTTTTTTTTTTTTTTTTTTTTTTTTTTTTTTTTTGGCGTTTGGTGGGGAGGGTCGGGGACTTCCGAACGGCGCAATAATCTTTTCATCTCATTTTATTTTTTCCCCCATCCGTTGGACATATAGGTCTGCGTGGTTTTTCCTGAGTGAATGGTGAATGGGGACACCGGGGAACCGAAGGGTTAACGGGCAATTGACTATATGCATATTATGTTATCCACGAATCAAACACGAATTAAATACCTGGTTGTTTGGCTGGTGATCAACCCGACTATTGAAGACTAATGTCTGGAGCATCCAGCGCTTTTCGCAGCTGAGAATTTCAACTCAGGATCTATCTGAATTCGTCTAGTGAACTTTTCTTTTCTGTAATTTTCATTTCCAAGCTGGGCTGGTATTCTCGATTGTCAAGAGAGATAAGACCAAACTCTCGCTTCAACTGGGATCTTCGAAGAAATATAATAACCTGAGTAGACTGATCATGTAGACATTCCTCGACACTAAACCCTCCTTACTCCTGAGCCATCCTCACAAGAAAAGGAAGACGTTAGATTTAGTCGCCCGGCTGGCACAGACGGTTTGATATCCAGGTTTATTTTTAGAACTAGTTAGTTACCCTTCCCGGCGCTAACTCCAACAAGGCTAGGCCATCCCCACACCCACCCAAACTCTCCGTCCAACTCTAACTCAGCCTCACCCAATCACCTCGGCGTTCCTGGCGCTGGCGCTGCGTTCTTCCTGTTTCTTCATGCAAACTTGCTGAGATCCTGCACGCAAGGCGCCAAACACTGCCGGTGAAATCAGCTACATATCAAGCCCGCTGCAGACTTCTGGGGGGTAACCGGAAACCCTGGATTTCTTGTTTGATTGGATATGATTGTGTTAATGGGTTGTCGCGTATGTGTTCTATGTGACATAAATCCCTTCCCCATGTCCTTTATCCCAAACCAAGTCCCGCAGCCGCCCGGTGTTTGCAGAGAATGTGCAGTGAAACAATCATGCATTCTTGTATGCGCTGATCGACAGTTTGCGAGGACCAATCGTTGATCTGAGATAGAAGGAGTTCTTGTGATATGCTGGGTGGAGGGACAGGGTTAATATGTCCCTCCCATGTCTTTTCTACTTGTCCCACATAGAGCACACTTGCTTTCTTCTCCCCTCTGCCAGTAGATAGGGTTGGGAGTGTAGCAGCAGATTGAGGAATAAAAACATATTGTCTCCCGCTTCCCATCTTTCCACTTTCAAATATTCCTCTACTCCTTCCAACTTCCCGTTTCCTGCTTTAGTTTTTGTTGCTTGTTTTGTTTTTACCTTCATTCATCCTGTTGGCAGCTGTGCTTGTCTAGGCTGTGCCTTATCTGTTTCTTTGATCTCTCCTTTCATTAATCTATCTAACCATAGATTTATTTCCCCCCACTATTCTTTCATAAAACTTTCATATATAACTAGATCAACTACTGCAAAGCCATCTACGCTTTCTTCGAGCGGTTTGATGGTTGACAGCTGAATCGAGAACTTATCTCAACTCAGTGCATCCCACCCTTCATTCCATACATCTCTATCCTATCGAGGCAAGGTGTGAATCATTTCCTACCTCCATTCCACTCATTTCATCGCCGTCAATAAAAAAAATGACCCCTCCACTATCGCTTGTGGATTCCCACAACGGCTCTCACGCTACAACCCTAGCCGCCTCCGACGAAGATGAATCCGCCTATCTGCGCCGCGCCAAAATCTTCCATTGGGCCCGTATCTCCATCTCCGGCCTCATCTTCGCCATAGCCGTAACTGTCATCGGCTGCGAAGTCCGCTCTCTCCGCTTCTACCAGCAAACCAACCCGTTCAAGAACTGGGGGCTCGTCCTGTGGCCTGAGAAGCTTGATCTGCGTCCCACCACGGCCCTGATTGCCTGTGGAAGCATCATCGCCTTGCTCACCCTGGCCTATCTCATTTTTTCGTTCCTCCCATCTGTACGTAAAAACTCCTCGTTTCCCTCACCTATTCATATATAACAGACACCAACTAACCCCACCTAGCCCCACGCCCGCATAGTCCTCCTAAACTCCCTTATAACCATAGTCGCCCTCGGCGGCCTCATCGCCGCCATCGCCGCCATCGCCTTCACCACCACCATCACCGACCCTCGAGTGAACAACGGCGACAGCGTCGGCGAAACCATCCGCACCTGGACGTGCAAATGGGGGTACGCGGAAGGGCTTGACGAGGATGGTAAACCCGTCGACGCCACGGATGAATTTGGCAGACTGTGCAGGGAGACGCATGCGTCGTTTGCGCTTATGTGTGTTCTGATTGTGCTTGAAGCTGTGTTGGGAGTAGCGGCGTTGTTAGGGTGGTGGATGGAGTTTGGAATGGAGCGGAAGAGAGGGGTTGTAGTTGGGGTGGAGGCAGGGATGATGGGGCGGGGCAACCGGAGTAGGGATGATGATGGGAAGGATTCTTTATTTTAAGGGGGTTTAGTGATGGGATGGCTTTTGATAAAGTGTGTTTGTATTGGGCATTGGAGAGGTGCTTATCCTGGCCTGGGCCTGCTCAACGTGGTAATATTTCCGTTGTTTTCTTTTTCTTTTGGTTGGGTGGAGTTTTTTTTGGCTTATGATCATGCTTTATGTAGGCTAGCTTTATGGCTTTCTTTTTTTTCCCCTTCGCTTTACTAGTTCTGTGCTTGCCTTATAATTCATCATTTTCTGCGTAGGAACGTGGACATCTACTGTAACTCTCCGTTTTATATCCATCATTTTTCAACTATAAAGGTAAAATGGGCAACAACGGGCTTGGCGCTTGGCGAAGTGGAATGGAACAATATTCATCCGCGAAACAGTCACGTGTAACTTTCGCGCGCGGAGTTTAGAGCGAGTCGCCATTTGCGGCTTCGGCTTCAAGCAGGCTTCAGCCAGCTGTTGAAAGTTACATACTGTTCCAAGCTCTCTTTTCTTAAATTTTAACGCTTTGGGTGCATTCGCCTTCTGCCTGGGATTCCAACGACTTCTTCTTTCCCAGTTCGATCCGGCTTGGGTTACACCCAATAAATTCGGTCCAATCGCCCAGTCCATGTGACAGGGACTTCGTTGCAACTGTAACCACAACATATAAAGCTTCCTACTTTACGAAAACCTCAGAGTACAGAATATGGCCCTACAAGCCTCACCAGCCGATTCCCACGACGGCGTGTCGCAGGTGACACACCCAGCTGAGCCGGAACACATCCCCCGCACGCCAATAGGAGATAACGGCAAGGACGAAGAAGACTATAACTCCGAAGAGGATTCTGATTTTGATGTTAACGCGCCCGCTGAAGAGGATGTGGAAGAGGGGGAGGGCGAGGAGGATGTCGATGGTAGAACTGCGGATGGCGGTCGACCCAGTAAAAGGAGGAAGTTATCGCCTGATCCTGACGATGGAGATGTTATCATGGATGCTGAGTTCGATTCTGGTGATGAGGTTACGATAAGAATTGGGAAGGAAAAGATGGAGAAGGCGAGGAGGAAGAAAGAGGGCGGAAAAAAAGGGAAGGTCAAAAAAGGCGAGAAGAAGCCTAGTGATGATGAGGAGGGTGATGATTTTGAGATTGATGATGATGATGATGTTGGTGGCGAGGGTGGGTTCGTGAGGACGAGAGGGATGAGGATGCGGATGTATGTGTTTCCGCCATTTCTCTTGGAATCGGTTATGTTGCGAAGACAATGTTTGCATGCGGGCTTACTAATTATATTTTTATACAGACAAGAGGAACAACGGCCTTTAGCAAAAGCTGATGGTGCTACGGTAGATGTAGATGCGCTGTGGGAAAAAATGAAAGCGGTTGAGCCGAGCCCAATCCCCCCGAAGCCTAGTGTTCTGACCTCAGAGGAAGGCATGCCAAAGGATGGAACAACAGTAAATGATTTCTCTCGCCAGACAGCCCCGGTACTTCCAGGCGAGGAAACCATAACCATAAAACGAGTCTACAAGTTCGCGGGCGAGGTTATAACCGAAGAGAAAACCGTCCCTAAGGACTCCGCCGAGGCAAAACTATATCTCTCCTCTGAAGCAGAGAAGAAGAAAAAGAAGACTTCGAGCAATACGAAAGGGGGTGACGAGCCCAACCACACATCCGATGCTGTTCGGATTCCGCTGGGAAGGCCGCTACGCAGATATTCCCGCTTCGATCCAAACCCACCTGACATGATAAAAAAGAGCTGGGAAAAGAATACCGCTTTCCCCGGTGGTGCAGGAGCAGCTGAACAGCCCAAGGGGCCTAAACTAAATACGGTCATGAAGTCTAAACTTGACTGGGCTGAATATGTCGATCGGGCAGGCATCAAGGATGATCTTGACGTGCACAGTAAAGCCAAAGAGGGCTACTTGGGCCGGATGGACTTCTTAAATCGCGTGGATGCGAAGAGAGAGGAGGAACGACGCAATGCGAGACTGAAGAACTTATAGCTTTGCGAAATCAAATACCCTATGTTTACGTGTTACAAATGCATTCGACAGAAATAATGGTCCTTTTCATGCCATATAATCAATGAAGGTTTATTGAGGTTCTTCCGCCACGACCACCATTACCTCTATTTTCATTATGCGTCCCGTTCGGGAGATTGCTTCTGCCCGGCGACACTGGCTTCCCAATTCATTTCAAAGTACGCCCCGGCAGTAATAGGCTCATAGAACCTTTTAGCCGGGGGCGCAGCACCTTGTTGGCCCTGGACCCATTCTTTCCATTCCGGTCCTAGAGGCAAGACATCCACGGCATACACTGGATTCCCATTGTTGAAAAATGCGATGCTATATCTATCCACTCCCGGTGGTGGCGCAACCACCATATCCTTGGCGGATGTGTACACACCATTGGTGAAGCGGAAAAGGAGATCGCCGCAGTTGATAACGAAGGCGCCTGGCGTCGGCGGGACAGGGATGTACGTCTGTGTTTTTTTTAAATCGAGTACTTGAAGTCCGCCAACGTTGTCTTGTAGGAGGACAGTGAGGAGGCCCCAGTCGCTGTGGAGGCTGGCACCGATATCATCATGCTTATCCTTTCCGTTTTCCTCATCTCCACCGTCCCGTTCCGGTGTTTTATAATGGATCAAACGGCAGAGGGACTCCTGTTGGCGAAAATACCCGTCGAAATAAGAGGGCTCCAATCCTAACCCTTCAGCAATTAGCTCGCTTAATTTCCTCCCTTGCTCTCCCACAGCCCGGAAACACTCCGTCAGTGTCTCGCGGAAGCCGATGAGGCCGTTTCCCACCGTTTCTTCCGGCTGATCCTCCGTAGTAATCTCCACCGCTGTCAGCCACTGACGAGATTGGGGGTAAGAGGCACTCGGTTTGCGAGAAGGAAAAAATAAATGAAAGATATAAATCTTAGGAGTGGGGAACGACTCTGCGATACGTCTTTGCCTCTGAATACCTCCTGTTTATATATACCCATGGAGGGCAATAATACCATTCAACGAAAATATATTAATTAAGTTCCGCGATGGGAACATAGGATGTTAAGGCCGGGAGGTAAAAATAAGAGTGCGAAACTAGCATAACGCACATAGATTGCAAGGAGCTCTTACGGAACAAAATAGAGTATTGTATATAAACACACACAATCAATGGGAGAAAGGGAAACCCTCGCAACTATAAATGAACATGAGATCAGAGCGATGAACAAAGTAAGAAAAAAAAAAAAAAGGCAAGCCCAGAAAAAACAGGCAGAGGAATTGGGTTAGTATTAGATTTGAACCAGTTTCAAGGAAAGAAAGAAGTTGGGACCCATGCAAAAGAAAAGAAGGAGGGAACAAAAGGAATGCAGAATAGTATATAGTTCAATGAATCCATTCAGACAAAATCAAAATCAATTCGCTTCGCCCTACCCGCCTGCCGTAGCCTGTCCTACCTACCAGTAAAATAAATTGGAAATCCCCGATGAACCCAGCCTTGTTTCAAAACAAAAAGAAAGAAGAACAAAAAACTCCACCAGGCCATTTGTAACTTGAAAAGAGGGAGTAAGTAAAAGAAAAGAAGAAGAAAACGACAACGCCTGATAAAGATAGATGAATCTTTTGCTTCACTTGATAGGTGAACTAGGTAGTGCAAGGTTGCAAGGTGAGCCACCCACAGTTGTTCGTAATAGGTCATCTGATGGTTGACAAAAGTACAATATGCAAATAACGAAGAAGGGAGTGAAGGATGTGGAATATGGTATAGAATGTTAATAGCACAAGTTGGGAAGTTGGTGAAGGGTTATGTTAGAAAGATGGGGGTCATAAAAAAGGTGGATAGAGGGTTGAATGTTTAGAAGAGGGGAGCAGATGGGTAAGAATAGATTAGGCTAGTTACCACGTAGTTACCACGAAGAAAATGCGCTGTCAGAATGCGCTCAGCACAAAGTAACGTAGCAGGCAAGCAAACCCAAACCGCGAAGGATAATGACAATCTATTTGCCTATACCATTACCCATCATGGCTTGTTGTTGTTGCTGCTGCTGTTGCTGTTGTTGTTGATGCTGGATAGCCTGTGCTTGTGCTTGTGCCTGGGCCTGGGCCTGAGCCTGTGCTTGTTGAGCTCGTTGTTGACCTTCTCGCTTCATAAAATCAAGCAGATACTGTTTGGAGGTTTTCTCCACTTGCTCTTGATACTGCTGGCGAATGGCATCGTGCCAGCCCGACGGATGACCGAACTGCTGCATGAATTTTGTTCGTACCTCGGTTTGAGCTTGCGGCAACATGCGCTGCGCGTAGAGTAGCCGGTAACGGGGAGGAAGCGCTCCTTGGCCTTGCGCAGCAACACCATTGGCCTGGAGCATGACCTGCTGTTGCGGGAGCTGCTGTGAGCTTCCTTGCTGTTGACCGTGAGGAGCTTGAGACTGTGACATTTGCATTTGTGCCAACTGAGATCGCATGGCATGGGCTTGATAAGCTGCCGCATTTGGGAACTGATTTTGTTGCGCCTGCTGTTGTTGGGCTTGCTGCTCCTGTTGTTGTTGTTGCTGCTGCTGCGCCTGTGCCTGTGCCTGCGCTTGCTGCTGCATGAATATATTGGGGTGTTGTTGAGCATTTTGAATATTATGTTGGGCATGCATATTGGCCTGAAGCTGAAGCTGTGCCATCTGCTGTGGTGTAAACTGTTGACCACCGGCCTGGGCCTGCAAATTCCGCTGCATCATAAGATGTTGCCGCTGTTGTAGTATAGCCTGCTGTTGTTGTTGGGGGGTCATCATTACACCATTCATCTGAGGATTGGCCATTATTGCATGGTTCATGACGGGCGTCTGAACCATGGTAGATGCGTTGGGGCTTGCATGGGTCATTCTCTGCGTGGGAGTTGCATTGCGCATTATCGGTGTGGCATGAGACATAGCCGGTGTCCCGTGTGCCATCTGGGGAGTACCATGCCTACTTGGACCCTGTTGGCTTCGCGTAGTAACCATTGGATGTCCCATAATAGCTGGATGGCTATGCTGAACGCCTGATGTAACTTGAAGTGGACTTCCTGCCCCTTGTGCCGAGCTGGTCATAGCCATTGGTATTCCTTGATTCATCTGGGGTCCCATTAAATTTCCTGTCATAGGTGACGAGCTATGAGGGGTTATATTCCGCACAAGTGGAGACGACTGTTGACCCTGAGAAGCTGGAACCATTTGTTGAGGCTGCGGCTGATGAGGAATTCCCATAGGCGGGTTCCCCCGGGATTGGGGCCGTCGATTCTGTGCTGCCACGAGTTGCGCCTGTGCTTGTACCTGAACATGCTGTGCTGCCGCTGCTTGTCTTCTACTGTCTTCTCTGCTTTGTTCTTCTGCCAATCGCTGTTCAGTTGCGCGTCGCTTTTCTCTCTCAGCTTCCTGCTGTAATCTTTTAGCGTGGTCCTGTTGAAGCTTCTTTTCGTGTTCAATTTTAGCTTTCTCTTCGTGTTCAAGGCGAATTTTCTCGAGCGTTTTAAATCTCGAAAACCTAGGTTCGAATGGAGCAGCACCACTTTCATCATCAACATTAGGAGCTTTTGCGGCCCCGCCGTTGCCAGACGTAGAAGGTCCTAGCCTCTCATCCATGATAAGCATGAATCGTTCCTCCTCAGCGGCCAATGCTTCATCCGCAGCTAACTCTGCGACAGTCCGTCTTCTAGTCTTTGGCGAAGGCGGTTTGTTGCAATGTCGAGGATCTTCCAAGAACTTAAGAAGATTCGCACTAGCTGCTAATCCATCAACCGGCTCCAGGTAGAGCGGTGGAGCTGTGGCATGTATAAGTTTTGCCTCGGCTTCTAGAAGTTCTGATGGTTCTACCATCATCTTTTGTCGCTTTGCTGGAGGCGCACGGTCAGTTACCGGAGAAGATGGCAACGCAGACAAGGGAGTAGGAGGTTGGGCGGCAGATCCAGTTCGCGACGCGGAATATGCTTGAGGCTGACGGCGATTTACAGCTCGTGGATCCGGAGTCATGGACAATAGCGTCAACTCTGCCAGCAGTGACTGAGGAGTGGGATGAAGTACAGTGGTGAAAACTTTAGGTTTCAGAGCTGATTGCTTTGAACTGCTAGATCCTGCCGTAATCCCGTTGGGTGCTCCGTTCTCCTTATTTGTTTCCGAAGCTGGCTGTTCATCTGCTTTCTGGCTGCTATCTGTAGAAGATCCATTAATGGTAGGTTTTATCTTCGACTGGTTCTGTCGCGGATATGGAACGAATGGTGAAGGGGTGATGTGCTGATTGTAATTGTGCAAAGAAAAAGGTGAGCTCTTTTCCCCGGAAGCGGCATTGGATGAGGGGCTAGGTTGGGTGGTGATAGATTTATGATCCACGACACGGACGATAAGGCAGTCTATTCAAAAATTAGCTCCAGGACTTCGCGGATGTAAACAAGTATGACAGAAACCTACTCTCGTAGAACCGAACACCGCCCCTCACCAACTCCTCAATCATGTCGTGGGGAACGGTGCCAGCCTTGATGTGTTCGATTATGACCTTCATTTCGGAGTTATAGGGAAAGCTGCCATCCTGTTGGTCGAAACGGAAGTGTGTGGGATGTAGATGTATAGTTAAAGACGGCGGAACTTTTGAGTACTTTTTAAGGATGTAGGAGGTAGTTTTAACTATAACGCCAAAGCATTTAGCGCATACCTTGTAGTGAAAAGTCAATTGAAGATAGGGAACACTGACCATATGGCTCCGGAAACTTCTTCAGTTGTCTCCGGTCTATAGCAGCTCCATCTGCGCTGGGGGGCTTTATCGAAAGGCGCTGTAAACGAGACGCAGAGTCGCTGGGTTTCAGTACCTCTTTCCTCGGGCGCGTTGGCTGACGATTATTTGCGCCATTTACGGCGGTAGCACTTGTTGGAGTTGCCGTGCCTGGCTGTTTGGCGCCTGCAACGCGACTTGAAGCCAAGCCCAGTGGAGACGGAGATGGTTGTGACGGCTTCGCGCCATTGATGCCGGTCTGGATGTATGACGGAGCAGCACGTTTGATTTTGGGCGCGGGGGGTTTCGTGGACACAGCAGTCGCCATGCTGAAGGACGATTCCATGCAGTCAGGGACGCCCCTGCTGCTAGCGTCCGAATGCGACGGTTAAGACGTTATCAAACAGGACGGATAAGAATAATATAGCCCCCAGATAGTGATAGACGAGCCGATGCGGGAGACATGTGGGGAGAAAGCGCGGATAACTGTGCGGCGACCGGCACGCCCACAACTGGTTCCGGTGGACAAAAAATTGGATGAGAAGATGACGCAATAGCGCAAGATGTCGGATGAAGCGGCGGAATGCTAAAGGATTTGGTATAGACGGGGAGTCTGATGGCTATCGTTGTCGTTTGAACAGTCGTTAAATGTCGTCGTTCGGTGCCAAGGATGAGGCTGTCATGTCGCCCTGCTCCGGAGCCACGTGACTATGCTCGAATGGGATCTAGTGTGTGATGACTAAGGCAACTTTGTTTCAACCTCGGCAGCTTCATCAGAGTTCGTTGAAGTATGAGATGTGCTGAAGGAGATAAGGTTGGTAGAGTGCGAGTTTGAAACTTTTTGTTGAGACTCAAATTGGCTGGTGTTACCGCTAAGCTGAGTCGCGAGAAAAAACGTTTCCGAACCAGGTAGTAGTTGAATTGTGACTAGATTGGCCAAAATGCTACTCTCTTCAACCAAAGTTGTAGCATAAAAATAAAATACAAACTATGTTAAAGTAAAAAAGCAGACAAGCTAACTAAGTGGTGAATATTTTATAAAGAAGTAACCTAAATATAGGAAGAAGACCGTTGAAAAAAGCCAAGGGGATATAATGAATAGGCATAAGAAATGAACAAGGGAAAAGAGGAATTCAGACGGGGAGGGCATATCATGAACTGGGAGAACATCAAACCTTCTCCATAGAAAATGTCAACAAAAGGAGATCTGGCACTATCATTCAGTCATGACCAGAGACACGCCGTCTCCAGTCTTCCCCCGTTCTCAGCCCATCCACCACGTCAATTCGCTTGCCTAGGCCCGTTATTCCTTCCTTCTGCCACCATTTCTCTCCCTTGTCTGTACCCATCGCGGACTCGTCATCGCTATCCACCAATCCACCGCGCCCGCCCTCTGCGCCAACTACAACCACGACCTGCCGAACCCATCCTGTAATCTGGTTGACTGGCTCACCGTCATTGCCGGTCATGCTTTCTTGGATATAGACAATGTCTGGGGAGAGGTGCCGAAGCATGTGGACGTGTCCATTTGATGTGCTGAAGGGTAGAATCATTGTCTCCTTGTCGACCAGTGCCTGTGCTTGGTTGTAGAGAGACTTGAAAAGAGGCGACGCGGACCCAAAATCGTCACCTGCCGGGCGAGGTTCAACGATATCAAGGCCGGATGAATCTTGCGGAGTTTCTATATTAGCCTCCTCAGGAGTAATGTTGGCATAGGAGGAGGAAAGAGACGGTGTTGGTCGAGATGAGGTTGGGGAATTCGCTGAACGAGGTTGCAAACCGGGAGCATATATTAGGACGAAAACACGTGTCGTATTAGGGTCGACGTATTCCGGGAGATGGGATAGGATAGACTATAACATGCTATTAGTTACTACTTATTTGATTAGCATTTATGATAAGAAAACCTACATGTTCCGGGGTTTGGCCTTCCGGGTCGTTTTGATGTTCCACGTCGCTAACCGAAGACACGACGATGGCCACGGTTCTTCTGGACTTTGTGGGAGGCGCATTCGTCGCTGGAGCTACCATAGGAGGAGGGAACGTGTCTGCCGTAGTAGGAGGCCCCGCAGTCGCGAGAACACCTCGAGAATTCGCTTCCTCGGTCCATCGAGAATGGTCTTCGAAATCGTTGGCTCCCTCTTCTCGAATCGCAGTCAACGCGCCTCCAACGACAGCCCCAGCGGCAGCCACTCCGGCAGCGACTCTTCTACTAGCACCATCAAATAGCTGCTGCGGACTTGGTGTTCGTCGTAATGCTCCTTGGACTCGCGATATCACACTCGCATCCTCGGGGTGTGCTCCATCATGAACCCCTGTGGCCCTCGCGTATTCCCCTTGTGGCTGGTCGTACTCAGCACCAGGCTCATGTCTTCCCGGCGCATTGCCATCCCGTCGTTCGTCGTGTTCGTTATCCCCATAGTAACCGTCGTCGTCCTCGCCGTCGCGGCGCTCACTCCATACCCAAGCAACAAGGCTGACGGTCGCGACGCCGACGGTGAGAGCAAGAGGGAGCCAATACCCAAGAGCAGTCCTTCTGCCAGTCGAGCTAAATCCGCTCGGGCCACCGTGTCGACGACGACCATCAAAGGGTTGGTTTGACATGGGAAACGGGGCTATAAATTGGTTATGCACACAAGGGGATTAAATAATAGTGAGGTATAGTTATGTATATCCACAAACGGGAATCAATGCACGAGACAAGAAAGCCGCATTGTTGTTCTCAAAGAGAGCTAGAAACAAGGCGGAGAGTTTAAAAGGGAATAGACAATGAAATCGGCATCATTATAAACCATGCGCTACGACACTCCAACCTCGTCAATAAGCCTCGGAATCGGAGCGCAGTTTGCAGCGTGTAGCTGCGGGGCGGAAAACATGTGGCTGGGCGAGGGTTTGTTGGCCGGGAGAAGGAGCCGCGATGGGGTGTTTGCATTGTTTGCTTGGCGGGTTGCCGAAGAAAGTCACGTGGACAAACTTCATCGGGAAAAAATTGGTAGTCATGGTACCGAACAAAGCTTCAACAGGAGAATCTCTTTGATATTGCGCCCTCCGCTGTACCCCCAGGACAATGGCTACCCGGAGTATATAGCTGAAACCATCGCTAGAGTGCAGGCATTGGATCGGCATGGATATTTCTACAGACACACTATTATCATCACCATTATCGGCTGATCACAATTCGCGCCCCCGCCAGTTCTGCTAGACCCGAAAGGAGCAAATTAAGCTCCCACCAGGAAGCGCTTTGCCTTGCCCTGAAAAAGCTGCTTGCCTATAATAGAACTGTCTTTTTTGAAGCCCAGCCTACGGAGCAAGTGGACAAAGCGTTACCCAGAATATTGGGCCAAGAGACGGGCATTATCACAGCTCGCGTTGCCCCGCGATCTCTTCTTTGTCAAACCTCCCGCATTGCCAGCTAGAATCATGCCTCATTCCTATGTTGTGCCCCATGCGGGGTTTCAGGCTCTTATACTCTGTGGTCCTGGTGTTTCTCTGAATACATTTACTTCAAACCCCGAGGAATTCCCTAAAGCCCTCGTTCCTATTGCGAACCGCCCTATGGTCTGGTACCCGTTAGATTGGTGCTATCGCATGGGCATTACAAGTAAGTGCTCTCTTGAATATTGCATAGATCGTTGTTTCTTCTTTGACTTTGTGGGGAGGTCTGCTCAGTTGTACCTTCAATGGGGTTTAATTTACTGTCATACGGATGGGATCAAAAAAAAATGATTTAACATATTGGGATTGGGTTGCCTTTGCGGATCCCGTACTTTGGAACCCCAACTAGAATAAAAGAAACCAGCCCTTATACCCCAATCAACTGCAAATATCATTCAATCAACAATCTCATGTCCAATTCCTATTATATGCAATGTTCTAATAAACCCCCCAGATATAACTCTCATAACGCCGCAATCAAGCCAGTCCGCGTTAGAGGCCGCACTATCGCAAAATCCACATCTTACATCTCTACCTTCTCCCTCCCCCTCAGTGCTTGCGCCTCGAGACCTAACATTTACTACCGGCACCTCGGAGCTCCTGCGACTACCTGAAGTGCAATCATGCATCAAGTCCGATTTTATGCTTCTTCCTTGCGACCTAATATGCGACCTACTTGGCGAATCACTCCTCGAAGCGTGGATGTCGAGCCAAGGGGCTCTGGATGGCTCGTCAGTCGGTGAGGCATTCTCAAGCCGCATTTCCAGCATGGTGGGCGTTGGCGGCGAGCATGGTGGAAGAAGAGGTGGCCTCGGGGTATGGTACCCCATGCCAACGTCTAAAGAAGAGAAGATTAAAGGGGACGTGGCCGATTTCCTGGCCGTGGCACCCCTGGATGCAGATGATGCTCTCGTTTTGAACGGTGGACCAGGAGGAAACGGATCGGTGCGCGCCTCATTATCAAAACTTGTCTATGCGGCGCCAATGGATACACTGAAAAATACAATGGCCAAGAAGAAGGCTTTCTTGATCCGTCACTCACTCCTGAGAAGTCATGGGAGAGTGAAGCTCCTAACCACCTACCGGGATGCTCATATCTACTTATTCTCATACTGGGTGAAAGATATGGCCCAAAGAAACGAGAAGTTTGAAAGCGTCAGCGAAGATTTGATCGGATGGTGGGCCAAGGCCGAATGGCAAACGGGCCTAGGCGAGAAATTAGGCCTACGAGAAGTCTTCGCCAACCAGGATACCAACAGCCATTCGTTCGAAGCCGAAGAACGTGTCGAGGAAGAAATCGACCTCTCAGCCATGTCTACCACAAAATCAATATCCCACTCCACCGTCAACCCGGACGGCAGCAGTGCAACACAGAAGCAGACTCGACCCTCTTTGCCCCAGCGTGCCTTCACCTTCCAACAAGATACAACCAAACCCAACCCAACGTCCCCAGGGAAACTCACCGTGCCCCCAATCCTCGCCTACGTCCACCCCTCACAACCCTCTGCTCCTCTAATCCGGCGCGTCGATAGCTCCGCCCTTCTCCTCTCCATCTCCCTCCGCCTCGCGAAACTCGACCCAATCGCCGAAGTTGGGCGCGAAGCAGCCTCCCCCTTTGCGCACATGAACAAAATCGCCCATCCAGCCGGCATCGCCCAGCGGTGCACAGTCACCAAGGCCGACTGCCTAATCGCCGAGAACGTGACCGTGGAGGAAAAATGCGTGATAAAGGAGTGCGTGATTGGCGCCAACTGCCGGATTGCGACGGGTGCGCGACTCACGCGCTGCCTGCTGATGGATGGCGTGGTGGTGGATGAGCGCTGTCAGCTTACGGGCTGTATTATTGGGCGGCGCAGCAAGATTGGGCGCGAGTCTGTGCTGAAGGAGTGTGAGGTCCAGGATGGGAACGTGGTGCCTGAGGAGACGGAGGCGACTGGGGAGAAATTTATGGTTTTTGAGGGGTTGGATGAGGATATGGATGATATGGATATGGATGGGAACGACGATGGTGAGGAATCTATTGGTGGGGATGGGCATTGGGCGGGTTGAGCTCCAGTGATGAGTAAAGGATATTTATGCGACGAATGGACCAATGGATAGAAGCGAATGGCGGGCATTTTTTGCGGAACTACCTGGTTAATGAACATGGGTTACCTGGCTATGAGCTTATTACCTTTTCTTCTTCTTCTTTTTTTATCTCGGAGTATTAAGTGCAAAGGAAAATTAGCAATAGACAACAGAAAGCAATGGAAATGCACCCTCACTCGGAAGAGAATTATCCCTCTGGAGTCACTCACTACACAAGCGAACTCACCTCAAGTCTGCGATCGCGTCCATGTTGTAATATTACAAAATTTGCACAACGTAACTTGTATCGGAATATCGTTTGAGAAACTGTGGAAAGGAAGTTATAGAAAGAAAGAGAGCTCAAAGAACACAGCAAGCAAAAATCCTCTCAGCCGGCACTTTGGCAGACATGCAAAACCCACAAATACAACAACACCCAAATGGCAAAAAAAATACATCTCGCAAAAAATATTAAAAATGAATGACCAAAATAAATTGATATCCAAACCAAAACAAAATTCCGGGCACGAATTGAACGGAACTGGTTGTTTCGAATTTCGAAACCCATTTGGAGTGGTCTGAATGGTAGATCAAGAAGAGGAAAAAGTCGAAATGCCCCACAGGGATCTAGATCACAACCAGCTCCGCACTTTCCTTATTGAGCTGAAGATTTAACAGATTACTGTAACTGCCTGCAGATCCAGCAGGCTCAATTAGGAATTCCTTGGCGATGTTAAACAATGACGTCACGAAAATGCTAATGCAGGAGAGAAAAAACGGAATAAAGCTTGAAAATGAAGAAGAGCACAACTAAACTCTTCAATCCTGGCGGAGCATATGCAAAGAGAGGAGAAGACAGAATCAATCTGTTTCCCTCAGTCATCTAGGCATATGATGCGCCTTCAGCTGGATCCTGCTAGATAGACGCGCAGATCGCGTCTTTCGATTATCACGCTCATCCGAGGCAGGTTTCTTACCTAGCTTGATAGATGTCTGCGTATATTTTTAGACCCTTTGTCCTGGATTGCAGGATCTTTCAACATTCTAGAGGGTAGTTTTCGTAAGTTATATTCGCGCACCAACACGGGTTTTTTCTTCCGTGGAGGTTTGAATGTAGGATTCGCGAGGCAGGAGTCCGAGCGCTCGCGTTTGTTCTCAAAGTTCTGCTCGGCCTGATGGGATGCTCCTGGAGTTAAGGTCAGATCTGGCAACAATTCATGGGAATCTATCAGCTTTTCGAAATCAATCTGAGATAAGTCCGGGGGAGAATCTTTATCGAAGCTTGGAAGAGGGACGCTGGATCGAATCCGTGAAGGGGAGCTGGGCATGAAACGGGATAGAGAGCCAAGGGGCCCTGTATCCAGAACACCTTGGCCCCAAGATGTCTCGCCAAGAGGATCTGGGCAAGGGCTCGCATAATTTATGATATCATGGCACCACTCGCTGAAATTTAAGGCGTCGTAAAGTTCCTGTGTATCTGAGTTCGTAGCTGGGGGATAAATTTGCGTAGGGCTGCTATTCCATGGCGTCACAGGGGAAGCATTGACATCATCTGCTGGGCTTGAGTAACTTTTTTGCTCAAAAAAGGCGGGTGTCACGGATTTCGACGAAGATTCGGTGTGGCAAGTGTCTGTCCTACACTCTGAAGATAAAACGTCTGGATGCAGTGCAAGTTCCAGAAAAGTAGAATCATCCTGTTGCATCAATTCCAAATGCTCGCCAAGCAGAGGGATTCCTGGTTGACCGAATAATGACATGTCTTCTAGCATAGGAAAGTAACAGTATTAGTGGGACCTAATGCTCACAGGGAGGAATGGCGTAGGGAAGAAGAAACTGGTGACGGGTTCTATTGAATCGATACTTCAGGACAACCGAGGTGACATCGATACCAAACTGAATATTGGACCTGATCTCAAAACAAGATACTTCATAGTCTGTGCGGAGATAAGGAGGAACGAGAGGAACAAAAACGTATGTTAGAATGAAGGAAATGAGAAAATGAATGCGGCGCGTCAAAGTGGCGTTTTTGTATTTCTTGTAGCAATCACGTTCAAGTTGCGTCATTTTGCGATCATTCACTCGCCATGTGTCATTGCGAAGAGGAAAGTTTCATCGAGAAGGAAATAAATAGTTATGTTCCAGAGAATCTCCCTGGGATATCCCGAGAGAGCGTCATTTGTTGATGTCGGGGTCATGGGGGGTGGTAACCCCAGATAACAGACTCCATTCGGTGTTTCCGCAAGGTCCTATGGAAAATACCATTATCCCTCTGGCATTAGCAAGACAGTAGCTTAGACGGGGAATGGAATAAATCATGGACAGGCACATTCCAGAGTGTTCATGGTGGAGTGTTTGTCGTTGTAGATGCCGCCGAGTGTGCTCTCAGTGTTGACATTGAAGCTTGTCATTTGCGGTTGCCGGGGAAGAGCCGCGTCCACGCGCCTGTCACGTGGCTCTAGCCGCGTTCCAAGGTTCTTGAGGTGCGGGATACGGAAAGGAACACGTGTTTTTATGCTAGGATGCTTGCGCGCGGCTAGATTATTAGTGTAATGTACAATCAATCAACCAACCTTACGTTTAGGCTAGATGAGAAGTGAAGGCCGAAAATTTCTGTAGGTTTTGTTTTTCCTTCTAAACTACGCTGTATTTTGAATAATAAGAGCTAGGCCTGAACGACCTAACTGTGTTCGAAAGTTCTGTCTTCTTCCTCTACACATTGGCTACCGGCTGTAGTTTGGGATAGTTACACCTATAATGGCCTTTTCACACTTGCAATGGTTGCGTGGAATCAAAAAGCTCTCCTGCCAAATTACCTCCATATCAACCATACATTCGGCGTGGCTGTGTAGGTTATTGAGGGTTACTAATTCTCTCTCACCTTGTCTAGTGAACCAATTGATCTCAACAATGGATGCCGCGAAACACTGCAATTAAACAATTTCTAAGTAGGGGTAAAAGTCAACCCAAATCCCAAATATAAATAGTATCATGTCATCCTATTCTGTCTCATCTTGTCCCAATTCTGTTCCATTTGCTTCATTTCCTGCTAAACTTCAGAGATGCTATCAGCTGATGACTGCTTTGAATTGATGGCTCGAAGAAGATGTTCTAGAAGCCAATTCATTTCTGAATATCAGACAGTGCATTACAGTCAGAAGTCTGAGATTAATTGAGCAGAAAAATTTACAGAATTACATTTTCAGAAGTATCAACACTTTTCAGTCTGAGTTAATCTTCTTAATTACTTAAGCCGTTTAGATCTAGGTAGTTATTTTAACAGAATCTAGATGCAGTTGATGTTAGCAATCTGATTCTGATTTCTGATTAATCTCTATTTCTAAATAATATATGAAGAGAAAATAAAAATTGCTAACAGTATGTATGTAGATACATCATACAGCTCAAAGCTATGAAGTGAATAAACAGATAATACTGTTCTATTTCTCTTAACTTGTCAACTTTCTCCATACTTATCAAGATAATTATCTGCAAACACAGAACAGCTACAACTTAACTTGCAGCTTTCATACTCCTTGTTCAATCTGACTTCTTCATACATTCATGTCAAACTGCTCTTGCCCCACACAGCCTTGAAGTCAGTTCTGAGATATTGAGGGAATTTAACTGTTTGATTTTCACAATATTTCTGAATGTTTCAAGGATCAGGAATCTCTGGGAATAAATCATCAAATTAATACATTCTGAAACACCAGGCTGATCTGAACATCATTCAAGATGAGGATTCTTAGCTCATCTGCTGGCACTGCCTTGGGCCCTGTGAGAAGAATATGAATTTTTCCCTCGGCTGCGCGTGAGTGGATGACACTGTCTCCCTCTTTTTCATGTGTGACCCGGCCGGCCATCTAAGTGTTTGCCCACGAAGTATTCCTTCTCAAGAACAACAACATCAGTTCCACTCTAGAAAGATGTCAGCAACATTACTATACGTGGATCTCCAGATTCTACCAGCAATGCCTTCACCTTCTTCTCCTTCAGCTCTTTGTCATTCTGTGCAGTTGCTTTTCAGAACTCTTTATTAACTGTGCCCTTGCCAATATTGATGACAGTGGACATTCCATAATTTCCAGGCACTGGTATCACTTTTAATAGTTGCATGTGCATCAAGGAATGTCTTAAAAGACCAGCTATTAGCATTCATTTTTGAGTATTTCATGATGTAAGACAAAACTTACACTTTATATCAATGACAGTACAATGAACTTTTCTGAACTGAATCAAAATCTAGGAGGGGCAGCCAGGCGTAGTCGATGGGGTCAAAATTATGACCACTTTAATCATGTGATTTTCGGAGGTTGCTCGAAAATCGTTTGGAGAGGTTCGGTGAAAATTGGCCTTGGCATGGATGGGATTGAATAGTGACCTGGAAGCCTTGAATTTAATAAAATTTAATAAATGTTTCCCCGTCCGACTCAGCAAAGACGCCCCAGCATGAAGAACGAAAGAAGGAAGGAAATAAATAAATAATACAATGTTTTGGATACAACTCTTGTAATTCGGGGGAGGGGAGGGGAGGGAGGGGGGATGATGCTGTTTTCTGTGTAAACGTTTATGCATGGACGGGACAAGGTCTTCCCAAACCCCGACCCCAAGCACCAGCCCATGCCCTTCTCTTCCCCTGTTTCATCCACTGAATATTCGCATTCCTCAACGGCATAGCAATTATTAATTTGACGTATTCTCCACCCACCACCGCAAGAATAATAATAGAGATATTATGATCTCCTCCAGGTAAGTTTGGAGAAAGTTGCCATACTGTCCACGGGTTGTTGGAGCGTTCTCCCAAGGCTCCTCAGAGCGGGCTGTGTGTGTGTGCCTGGGAGTGTACTCCTTGTATTGTTGGTAAGGCCAGCAGCCAGCGGAACGGTAGCGTAAGGTATGGTAAGGTCAGGTAACGTATGGACCGTAATGTATGTACATACATGTACTGTAGCCTCATATATGGATAGCTCTATGGATCGCGCTGCATGACTCGCTTTGGGCGGAGGGAAAGGGCACCAGCAGGGTCCACACCTAGGCGCGGGATTGTTGTGTAGTGGAGTTATCGAGGTTGACCGTGGTATGTGTGGTATGTGTGGTATGTGTGGTATGTGTGGTATGTAAGCCCATGTAACCAGCTAGTCAGGGCGCGTACCTGGGTATCAATGATCAATGTCTCAGGCCGCTCCGTGCCTACATTGCCTAAGGGGGGGGAGACCGGTATTACTGGAACGACTTGCTGTCCGTACCAATATCCATACATACCAGCGCCCCCGTACCCGTAACGGCGTGTTTTTGGCTGTTTCCGTTCTCTCTCTCCCCTTCCCTTCCCTTCCCTTCCAACCACTCACTCACTCCAATCCTCATCCCATCTTCTCCTCTCCTTCATCCTCATCCTTCCTCTCTCCTCTCTCTCCTCTCCCTCTTCCTCTCTTCCTCTTCCTCTTCCTCTTCCTCTTCCTCTCTTCCTCCTCCTCCTCTTCCTCCTCCTCCTCTTCCTCCTCTCCTCAACTTCGCTGGCGTTGACCTCCTTGTCATCTCCATTTCCATCCCTATCCTAATCCCTCTCTCTCTCCCTCCCGTGTGTGCCCTGGAGGACTAGGCTGGTGGAAGGTCTTGAGGTTGCTGTTCATTCTCCTTCGTTTTCTTGCCCCCTTCTATTCCTTTCTTCTATCTCGGTCTTTTTTTTTCTTTTTCTTTTTCTTTTTCTTTTTTTTTTTTTTAATTCCCTTTCCCTTCCTTTCCGTTCTGTTTATATATTATTTCCTGTCTGTCAGTCGTTATTCTTTCGTTTCTCTATGGCTTGATCCATTCTCTTCTTCTTGATCTTATATCCTTCGTCTTCCTAAAACCTCCCTTGCTCCCTTGCTCCCTCGCTCTCACTCCCCTGAACAACTTGGGATCCTAATCTCGCATTGTCTGTCTCCTTTCGAACAAACCCCCCTCCTCGCGTCTCGATCTCCTCGTCTGTACGTTCGTTCTATACTAGCTGCTTCCCTTGGAACCTCAACATCATATAATCTTACCGCTACCCCTGCATAATCTTTTAATTTAACCGGCAATTCTGGTCTTGGTACGTCTCCTTTCGAAGCCCCCCCAACACTCCCCTCCCCTCCCCTGCCCTTTCCCAACTTCCCAACTATCTACTGCTTGCCACTCCTCAATTCCAGATGCTCGCCATTGAGGCACGAGAAACAGCAAAAGCCCTGCCCTAGCTTGCACAATCAGCCCAGTACTCATCGTCTCCCACCTCCGTTACTCCCCAATTCCGCGTCAATTGACCACCCTGATGATTCTTAAAACTTACCCCACGAATACCTAACCACTTCTTCCCTCGACTTCTCTAATGACATGCTCGTGGTGGTCTCTACTGACAATTCATCTCAAGGTTGTAGATTTGTCCTATTTGGCCTCCACTTTTTTCGATAAACAGAACGTTGTGGCGGATATCTGGCTTCGAATCCCCTGTCTCTCCTCTTGACTCCGTTCCACATTCTCTTGGCATCTCCCCATATGAGTCCTTTTTTCTTTGCTCTTCAATAAAGAAATACGTGTGTTATTCCAATCATGGCTGCACTGGTACAAACGATCCCCCAGCAGACCAGTTCCATCACTTTGCTGCAGCCTCGCCCCTCCTCCTCTACTGCCTCCTTCCCTTCCTCCGCGACTTCTACTCTCCAACAGCATTCACAAATGGCTCGAAATCAGCAGCCGTCTAGGGCATCATATAACAATGTACTGGGACATGGGAATGGGAGTGGGAGTGGGATGGGTTATAGGGCCTCACAGGCTGGACAACCTGTTGCGCCTTATGCTTTCACTAGTACCCCAAGTTTGACCAACACTGGCAGCTCTCACACGCGTCAGAATGCCCCTCACCTCCTGAAAACGGAGCATAGAGCGGTATCTGCGCCTTCGGCATCACAGTCCCAAGCAAACCCAACATTCCCGGGCGTAATCCCCTCTCGTGTGCATTTCCCTGCTGCTGGTTCGGTATTTAATTCTTCCCCCAACATCCCTTCTTCCGTCATATCCCAAGGCTCAAAAGACGACTCTGCAATCCCAACGAAACAATGGACCAATGAATCCGCTGCTCGCCCACTATCTTCAATGGGATCCACGCCTTCGCTTTCTTCTACATCTCCTACTACCTCCACGAAACCCTCTCCAGATCGCTATCGTCGTGGCCAACGACGCACTGAATCCCAGAATGGAGCTGGGAATGTTTCATCGTTTCTAGCGAGTGGACTCTCACAGCCAAGTTTTGCTCCCGGTGTAAAGGAGGGGAACGCCCCATATCACTCTCGAGTTTCTAGTGCAGATGATGCATTTACTGCCAATCCTCAATCATCAGAGCAGGCCAAGCGTTACAGGCGTAGAAGCTTGGGCAGTTTAGACATAACGGGCTTGCCGAACCTATCGGAACAAAAGCCAGCCGCTGAACCGCTAATGTCTTTAGTCACCAAGGACTTTACCCTAGAAAGTCCAGATCAACGTCCCCATTCTGCTCATACATACTCTCATGCACACAAGGGTAGCACTGAAAGTGTCTCTTCCACACGATCTTCTCCTCCGACTGTAGGCTAGCCCTCTACTCATCTCACTTCAAATATCCTTTCTGTGTTTGCGGCTAACAGTTACATTTTGTTATAAAACAGGGAAAACGAGCTCCTCCAGTATCATCGTCCACCACCCTGAAACTAGATCACAAACTCATTGACAATTCGAAACGTGCCACGAATCCTTCTCCTTTGTCCCAACCGATAGACATGAGCCCCGAATCCTCAAAGCCAAAGTCCACCACTACCACCAACCCCGCAACCGAGTCATCTGGTCCAATGCAAGCACAGCCCCCATCGCCCTCCACACAAGCTAAAGTACATAGTCCTGCCGCAAAGCGCCTGACAGAATTATCAAAGAAAGGATTCCATAAATCTGGAAAGTCGAGACTGCGAAGGGCCCTGTCGTTTGGCAGCGTTGCAGAGCTTCGAGCCGCGAGCGCCCAGGAACCTATACCACAAGCTGGTCGACCTGGCCAGGAAGTGTCGCGGAAGCAACAACTTGACGAGGAATTGGGCGCGGAGCAAGCTGCAATTGCAGAAAAACAAGAGGCCAATGGACTTGGTGAAAACATTTATTCAGGGCAAGGTCACATATTTTCGGGGTCGATGGATAATCTGTCTATTTCTTCCACTGCATCCTCGGCTTCGATTATGCTGCGGAAGATGGGAAAGGGCGTTAGAAGGTCAACTCGATCACTCGTCGGGCTCTTCAGACCTAAATCGACGCCCAATCCCGAAGGGGATACAACCGCGCCCGTAGAACCTATGACGCCTCAGGTATCCATAGTAAATGTGGAAGCAGAGCGTGGTAATGGGCAACAGGCCAGCAATAACACCGCGTTAGAAGAGGGCAATGATATTAATAACGATAATGAACCAGGAGCACCACCGTCAGCAAAGGGACGTTCTTCTGTGGAATCTGGTAGCACAGCCACAGGAGGTGACCATAGCAGTACTGACAGCATTAAAGTGGCCCGCAAGAGCATTTTGGGAGGTGAAAAGGAACGTGCCGAAGTTCTCGCCGCAGTGAGAAAGGGAATTCTGAAAAGTGAGCTTATCCCTTGATAACTGGTATCCGTGGACTATACCCCGTCTAATATTGCTTGCTGACTTTGGCACATAGGATCTGGTGCTGGTTCCAACACTTCGTCTCCTACCCTTCGGCCGGTTGAGTTCAGAGGAACTGACGTGATGCCTGTTCCTCACATCCACGACTCTCCCCACTCCAGCGCCCCAAGCACTCCCAACGGAGATCGTGATCGCCCCCCGCGCTCAGGCCACCGAAGAACCGATTCCGTCACCATTGAAGGAGAAGATTACTTTCTCCCTGCTGGCCGATTTGGCACTACTGACTCCTCAAGTGCACCCGTTACACCACAAACTGTCACCGCGCGGAACATATCATTCAGTCCCCGCATCCAATTCCACGATACCTGGCCCAGTGGCGAGTATGACCGTCGTGGAGATATCGCGACTTGCAATCGGCTGACGCCGCTATTGGCGCAGCAGATTAAAGAAGAACTTAATACTTTTAAGATGGTTAGCCGACGCCTCCCCAAATCTACGCGCACATAACTATATGTATATGCCTAGTAACTAACTCCCAATTCTTCTACGTTACTTAGGAAATGGAAGTCCACGAATCCTCAAAGGTTTATACACATTTCTTCTAATTGTAGAAAGCGACATAAAAGGTAAAAAAGAAAAAAGCTGCAACTGCATTATAACTTCGTGGCGACGGGCGTTTTTCTCTCTCCATTTTTCCCCTTTGAGCACTTGGTTGATTGGCTGAGTGTTTCGGTTTCATGTGTCCCTCTGACACCCATCCCGTGACCGGACATTGAATTCCCTTTTTTCATCATTGCTCTGTTGTTGCTCTGCTTTGCCAACGAAACGCATTTTGCTCGCACCTCTCTTGATTGTTTTATGATGATCTTTTTTTTTTTTTTTTTTTTTTTTTTTTTTTTTTTTTTTTTTGAGAGAGAGAGAGAGAGAGAAGTACATCCTTTTAAGTACGCCTCTTGTTTTTCTTTCCTTCCTATCTCTCTCTTCTCTATCATTTTTTCTGTCTCAACCAAGCAAATGTCAGCTTTCATTTTTGTTTTCTTGTTTTGTTTTGTTTCTTTGTTAGCTATTAGCTATCATCTCCTTTCTTCATCTTCATCATCTCTGGTTCTGTTTTCTGTTCCGTCTTTTCCTTATCTTTCTCAGCTTACTAGCTCTCATGATTTTCCTTCACTATATCTTTGCCCGTTTTAATCGTATCCAGGCCAAGCCAAGTTTTGCTGTCTAATTATTTTATTGTATCTCCTTTCTTGTATTTTCCTTCTTTTCATTTTATCTCTTTCTAATTAATGGGCTCAAATTTTGTTTTCCTTTATTTTTCTTTTGCCATGTATTGCAGCCTGTGTGTATGTCTGTGTACTCTGAATGTGTGTGGTGTTCCTGCTGTGTGTGCCATCTTATGTAGCTAGCTAGCGTGTTCTATTCAAGGCATGTTTACTTGATCTTTTTTCTTTACATATCTTGTCTTGCATTCTTTTTCACACTAGAGCTACACTCATTTCTTAGTCTACTTCTCACTTGTTCTTTACCTCTTCACTAACATTTTTCTTCCCTTTCTGTTTCTTCTTATCTAGTTTGGCCCGCGAGTCATTTTCAAAGCCTGGATGCTTTTGACTTTTTCAGTTTTTAAATCTAATACCATCTTCTCTTCTGTTCACAAAATAGTTATTTTCACCCCCACAGAGGTAGAGTTCTTTAGTTTTCTTTTTATTTTAGCTTATGCTGCTAGAAGTTGCTGTTGCTTTTACAATCCTGCCTATCACTGAGCTTGTGGCTAATTCAAATATCAATCTCATCTTCTCAAAAAGAAATTTTTTTTTCTCTTTCCTCTTATTTTCTTTCTTTCCACTTCTCTATATTGTCTTCCATGTGTACTAGTTCTTTTCTTCTTGTCTCTGGCGTAATTTTTTTTTTTTTTTAAATTCTCAAATCTTTTCCCCTTCTTTACACAAAAACTTTAGAAATAGTGAAGTAATCAAGTTTCAAAGTGGTAACCATTGAGAAGAAGCACCTTTTAAAAGCAATAGATATACCTGTGTGTAGTCCATCAATATCATTTCCAAAGTCTCATGCATGAGGCTGAGGCTGATACAAAGCCATTTATTTATTGTAGTAGTTATTTATTGAGAGAGGTAGAAGTCAATTCTCCTTCAAACAAAAGATGAGGCCCAAGAAATGACGTCATGGCAGTATCGACTTCTTCCTTCTTTGGCGAGTGTATAAATATAAAAATTTAGATTCATTTATGTACGGAGTTACCAATGGAAGCAATAAGGAACAAATGCAATCGACCCGTCCACTCCAGGGCTCTCCCATCTACGGTAAGGTGGCTGAGAGATTCCAAAGTGTTTGCCCCGGTCCAGTGGCTCGTCGGCAAAGCTTGACTCCGTTTGACTAAAGATAACTTGCAATCCATGGACGGGCGGATGGCTTAAACTCCAACCGCGCCTCAATGCAGCCAAAAATTTTAGGCTCAATTTCGGGGGGTTGGGAGAGCGAGCGACTTTCTTTAGCCCTCTGTGAGTCGCTGGAATATCAGGGACGCGCTGGGATGTTGTGCAGTCCGCCGTGCAACAACTAATCAGAATATCTAACCGGGTCGATCGAAAATACAGTGCATGCCAGCCAGACTGAGATGCTATCGCGTCATTCCGGCAGGAAACAAAAGAGGGATTATTGATACATGATTACAACTATTCTGCGCGCCCAGCTGTAGATGATTTGGACATAACAGTTACTACTAGTTCGAGTCAATATCCAGCTGCCTTCCTCCCTTCCTTCGTCACCTATCCATCTATACCTAACTGCAACAGCTTCCGCTCTTAGCTCGTTGAATGTGTGAAAAACACACAAAACTACCCCCAGCTTTCGTTGTCGACTAAAGGCTCCTGAGAAAAACCAATGGAGTCACGCGCAGAGGGCAGCTCGGAGCTCATAGATAAAGCTTCCTACGAGAGCCCTAACAAGAACTTGCCAGCGCCGGGATCCCAAGAAGTTACTCTCCAGGATGCCCATTTGCCCTCCTTGACCACGGCGACCTTGCCCTCAGGCAGCGCCGATCCCATCTACGAAGCAAAAGCCCAGCTGTTGAACCAGGCCATTCTCGACATCGGAATGGGATGGTATCAATGGCAGCTATTCATCGTCATTGGCTTCGGCTGGGCCAGCGATAACCTCTGGCCCATAGTTACCTCCCTCATCTTTACGCCTGTGACGAACGAGTTCTCACCCAGCCGCCCGCCGTTGCTTACCCTTGCGCAGAACCTGGGGCTTCTCGTTGGCGCGGTGTTCTGGGGGTTTGGCTGCGATATCTACGGCCGTCGCTGGGCGTTCAACCTCACCATCGGCATCACGGCGGTGTTTGGCCTCGTGGCTGCAGGCTCGCCGAACTTTGCGGCTATCGCGGTGTTTGCGGCGCTATGGTCTGTCGGGGTTGGCGGGAACCTACCTGTTGACTCTGCCATATTTCTCGAGTTCTTGCCGTCGACTCACCAGTTCTTGCTTACTGTTTTGTCTATCGATTGGGCTCTTGCGCAAGTCGTGGCGAATCTTATCGCCTGGCCGCTGCTGGGGAACTTGACCTGCCAGGAAGGCGATGAAACATGCAGCCGTGGTGAAAACATGGGATGGAGATATTTCATGATCACTGTCGGTGGGATTTCGATGCTTATGTTCTTCATCCGCTTTGCTTGCTTTACCATCTTTGAATCACCAAAGTATCTCATGGGCAAGGGGAGAGATGAAGACGCCGTCCGCGTTGTTCATGAGGTGGCGCGCCGGAATGGAAAGACATCATCACTCACTCTCGAAGCGCTGACGGCCCTGGGGCACGGCACCACACAGAGGAGCGGGGCTGGGATAGCCTTGCAGAGAAATCTAGAGAAACTCGACTCCAACCACGTCAAATCCCTCTTCGCAACCCCGAAACTAGCCTGGTCAACCTCCCTGATAATCCTCATCTGGGCCTTCATCGGGCTCGGTTTCCCTCTCTACAACGCCTTTTTACCCTACATCCAAGCCACCCGCGGCGCCAACTTCGGCGACGGCTCCACCTACATCACCTACCGCAACTCCCTCATCATCGCCGTCCTCGGCGTCCCAGGCTGCCTCCTCGGCGGCGCGCTGGTCGAGCTGCCCCGACTGGGCAGGAAGGGCACGCTCTCGCTCTCAATGATGTTCACGGGCGTGTTCCTCTTCGCGTCAACAACCGCGGAGAGCTCCAACGCGCTCCTGGGCTGGAACTGCGCGTACAGCTTCATGAGCAATATCATGTACGCGGTGCTGTATGCGTATACGCCAGAGATTTTCCTGACCAAGGATCGCGGGACGGGCAATGCGCTGACGGCGGCGGCGAATCGGGTCTTTGGCGTCATGGCGCCGATTATTGCCCTGTTTGCGGATCTGGAGACGGCGGTGCCTGTTTATGTGAGTGGAGTGTTGTTTATTGTTGCGAGTGTTTTGGTTATGTTGCTGCCGTTTGAATCGAGGGGGAAGGCTAGTTTGTAGTAGTAGTAGTTCGTTAATGAAGGATGCTGCTGCGTCTGTTGCTTTTGTTTTTGGTTTAGATAGAAACTTGCCTGTTCTGTTGCTTTTGGTTTTGTGTAGATAGAAACTTGCCTGTTATTTATGCAAAATAGATCTCGACGGGGTTCACATCTTATTCTGGGTTCTGAACCCGCCAGTTACAACTTTTTATATTTCAAGTTGATTGGAACGGACATGCTCGTAGCCGGTCAAGCCCGGGTAAATAACAACGATATTTATTTACTTATTTAAATATAGAGCCTGCAATCCTACTGACTCGGTGGCTCTTGTGGAGAATATTTGTTTCTTTCGGGGCCACCAAGAACCAGTATTTAAAGCCAGTTTCTATTCGCTGGGCAAATAATTATTTAACTAGCGTAAATATAGTTAAATATACATTTACAGGCGCCGACTGCGCTTCTCTCTCTTTCTCTCCAGTTAACTATATAAAATACTCAACAACACCAGCCTGGCCTGAATACACCACAGCATACAATGTTCATTATTTCTATACCAAAGATCGCCGACAAGCAACAGCAGCGAACTGCGAGGGTTTCATTTGTTGGTTGTGGGGATGCGTGGTTGGTCACCACCATAAATAATAAGTTAAATAGCTAACTAACTAACTACCAGCGAGTGTGACACCAAGGACAAAAGGACTCGCGGAGGATGCACAATACTTGATATAATAAGCTGAAGAGAAAAATCCGATCGCCTGCCCTGCTCCCCAAGCCGGGAATTGGGTCTCTCTGTCCATATCAAAGTGCCCTGAGAGCCATGTGGAACGCTGAAGAATTCCCTCCATTCCGGGCCTTTTGATGATATACGGATTTACGCCCGTCCTGCTGTTTGAAGCCTCTCATTGGAACTGGCTGGGACGATCGCTCTATCTACTGCTTCTATTTCTCCTATCCATCAAAACAAACACACATGCTTTATCGTTGAAGGGCTCTTCCGTCGCAGAATGCTGTGTGCATCCCTTCTTCTATCTCCTGTCTGCGCTCCTCATCCACCGAAGCCACGCCCAGGAGTGCGACTCCTCTGCACCAACAATAGAACTTCCTATCGGAAATGGCACGATAGGAGATGACCCGGGGTCGGTGCGATGGGGCCTGAGTATCAGTGTCGGCACTACCCCCCAGCAAATTGTCGCTGCGATAAACCCGTGTGTGTTCCCCGCCCCGTCACCCTCAGAAGACGAAGGGGGTGTAGCGTGGCGTTTTGATATAGTTAATTATTTCCCATCCAATCCTGCTTCAGCGCAACTTACCGTGTCTCGTCATACACACACACCTCGTGATGTATATGTATATATAGTGGTTGGAACAACTCGTGGCTCTGGGGAAGCCAGCGTGAATGCACCGGTCGAATCTCCCAGGACAACTGCATCTGGTTTCGCGGAGGAGTGTTTAACGAAAAAGAAAGCTCCTCCTGGGTCCCCACTGAGATCCCCGACGTATACGATTTCCGACCCTCTGGCAATCAAAGAAAAGACACATCAACAGTCCCTGGGGAAATGAAACCATTACCCTTCTAAAACCGAACATGACCGTTGAGTCTGTTCCCTTATATTCTCCCATGGCCGGCGAACCTCCGTAGGGTAGCATCGGGCTCGGTCGCGCCTCGTCTTTTCTCGATGTGCTTACGGCTCAGAAAAAGATTGCTTCCAGGACGTGGTCGCTGTCCTGGGGCTGGCAGGGATTGGAGGCGTTCCACCAGATGAAGGGCAACCTCGTCCAGGGTGGCTACGACAGGGCGAAGATCAAGGGAGATAACTTTACAAGGGACTTTGTGGATGTGAAGGAGTGCACGAGTGAATTAATGGTCTACGTGAAACAAATTTACATCACGACGTGGTATGGGGACAGAACGGACGTTTATAAGTCTTCGGGTTCGACTCTCAATGCCTGTCTCAGGCCTGATATCTCGCCTAATTCGCTGCCTGATCACGTCTTCAATAATTTCAAACGCCGTTTACCTGGGAAGTACCTCGGACCTGCAGGTGGGATATATGATAACTCTATCTTGCATGACAGTAAAGATATGTAAGTTGGCTCTCCCATTAAACTCAAGCCCCTTACAAACCGCCTTTTAAGGGTCCAATCTACAACCCATTTTCTTCTAAATCTAACTTACCTTCTAGCTTCCGAGGGAATCTCACGTTTACCCTCGACTCCGGCCTTAGCATCACGGTGCCAAACCATCAACTAGTCCTCCCCAACACCGTCATAAACCGCGACGGTCACCAGACATTCGCCAACGACTCCCGTGTAATCCCAATCCACAACGCTGGCCGGCAGGGTGCTTCCCTAGGCCAATCCTTCCTCTCCTACGTGTACATACACGTCAACAACGATCTCAAAAGGTTCTCCATCTGGCAAGCCAACCCAACAGAAGAGACAGATATAGTCGGTCTCGCCGCGGGTTCCTGCGATCCTGACCCCGCAAATGACTCCGGCTCCGCGAACTCGGACAGCAAGCTGGGAAGGGGCGCCATTGCCGGCATCGTCATTGGCGCAGTGGCTGGTATCGCGCTCGTCGGACTAGCTATATGGTTCCTTATCTGGCACAAGCGGAAGCGCACGCAGAACCAAGATGCACGGTTATCCCAAGCCCATTCGCAAGCCGTTATGGCGGCCGAGTCGAAGAATCGGATTCCCGAGCTGGATGATACTGGGTTGCCGAATCCGGCTTCCGGGGCGGCAAAGTACGATCCAGGTGTGATGGGTGGGAGGTATGTGAGCGAGATGCCCACTTCCCCGCTGCCGCAGACACAAGAAACCCCAGTCGAACTGCCAGCTGATAATGTGCGGTATGCGGATGGCCCTGTTTGAACCTTCTATTGCCTCCCCCGTCGTCATTCATTGATCTCTCGGCGTTTTCTCCTTCTGTTTTCCTTCTGACACCCGTCAATTCATTACCCAACCCTCAATTTCCTTCATCTCGTTTAGATACGCTGCAGCACGTAGGGATATTGCCCTTAGGTCACCGAATCAGTTGGATTGGACTCAATTCATCCCTGAATGACGGGAATATCAAACAAGTCAAGTAATAAATAATATCATGCTTATTAGAACAAATCTCATCGATGTTGATGCGTAGCTTTAGAATGAAAAGGCAGTCACAGAGAGCAGCAAACAACACACTATTATGAAGCAGTTCAACGGCGACTGGCAGGGGAGTGAGCCTGTTGAGCCAGTGAGGGCATTGGTTGGTGGCTCACCACTACTCAATTATGATTTTAGCGGGACGGCGAAGAGCTATTGGGAACGGACGGACCCAGACAATCTACAGTATGTACATGTATGTACATTACAAACGAAACATATTTTTCACCTTCTTTTTCCCTTTTTATCTCCACATCCAAACCGCCTGCTTTCTATCATGGTGGTTATGACCTAGGTGAGAGAGAGGCAGAGAGAGACAGCGAGATCACAACGACTTTGCTCGAAGAACGCACTCATTCTACACCCTGAAAACAATGACAAAAAACTTCTCAAACTACGTACGTACCGCTCTAGCTCAGTCAGATATATTTTTCACCGTACGAATCTCACTTCTGTAACGGAACAAATAAAATGAGAGTGAAATAATTCTTCTTTTCTACTAACTCAAAAGAGATTCTAAAGCAATCAAATTTCTCCAAATCAAAATTCTTTTTTAAATCAACGCCCAAGAGGGTATACCGGTAATGCAAGCATCATCAACACATTCCCAAAGAAAGGAAGACAAAATAGGAAGAATATAATAAAGAATGACTCGAGGAAAAGACCCACGTTCTCTATAATCACAAATCACGACCCCCTCTTGCCCGCGTAATGAGATTCTCATTACTCAGCCGCTGAACAGCCGCCCAGGGGTGGCGCGGAAACATCTGCAGAACCCGCGCGGGACTGGCAGTTTGCGACTGCATCTCAAAGTTGCTGGTTACTATGATCTTCCTGTCAAATAAGGATCTGAACCCGCTACTGTTGGAGTGCCGCTTGCTGTTCGAGGTTAGGAAGGGCGTGTCGTCCTCGTCTGATGGATCGTAGTCTAGGCCCGTTATGGTGATGATATTGGCCAGGAAGGCGAGCAGGAACGCCTCTGCGTCTTTAAGGGCGTTATGATAGCTATTAGTTGCGTCGCGGCCCGGTATGAGGAGGGGAGCTAGGGCGATGGCACTGAGGAGAATGCCGAGGGAGAAGAGGGAGGCGAGGAGGAATTTCCTGGGGGGTGGAGTGTTAATCGTGATGATGTTTGGGGTCGGCTTGGGGGTGTGTTGGTTGTGGATTTCTTACCGTGTAAGAGACCAGCCTTTTTGAAAGGCCCAGCGAAGAGGAATGGCGAGGAGTAAAAGGTCGGTCAGAGTATTTGTTATGGTATGTACGAATGAATGTAAAATGGTTTTAACACACGGGCCTGACTAGATCATTAGCCTTGACTTTTCAAATGCTAGAAGCTAACAAGGTTACTTCAACTCTTACCTGGGTCTGGCGCTACCTGCCAATAGAGGTGGAAAGGGGAGCATTCGCTGAATGAGATAACTTGGACTAGGACAAAAGTTATGGCTACTAGAGCCAAGGTAATGCTCAGGATATGGTTTGGCCACAGTAGCCCTGGAGGAATTCGTGTGTATAATACGAGAATGATGGTTTTTTGGGTCCAGAGACTAGATATACATTTTCATGCTCATGTTAGTAGTTGATTCAGATAATGTGTTTTGGAAGAACGATCATGCAAGCCCGTACTAAGTAGTATATGTGACCCTATCTGTTAGTGCCAACTTGCTTCCTATCTCCCGGTGATAGATCTCAGATTCCGTGAATTGCCTTTCAATCTGATCCGGCGGGTTGGTGACATTCGTTCCCCAGAGAAAGACTATGACGCTCATCGCTGTGCGCGCACAGAAACAAACAAGCGCGAATATCGTGAGATAGTCGCTGGCGCCGAATGGCCGTTTTCGGATCTTTTGCAGGAGCAGCCGTGAGAACATAGCCATTATCGCGAAAAGCCCCAAAACTCCAACCAAAATAAAATTCTGTTTCGCATCCAATGTCATCGCCATGGCCGTCTCTGACGCGGCAGTTGCCGAGGGGTAGAGAAAAGCGGCGTGATAGTCCAGAGCATGAGAGGAATTCTCTATTCGTTCGATGACCCAAATCCATTCCAGGAGGAAAAAGATCAAGGCAGGCCGGTGGACGGGTATGTATATATTACCTTCCACTTCCTAGATAATCGATCTCATCGGGAATCTCACTGTCTCAGAAATCAGCCACCCTTTCGTATAATTTGGCTGATTCGAGGTCGAAAATATAAAGTTGGTTGTTATAGGGTCGCATTCCACCTTCCTTCCGAGATTGCATGGTGGTTGACTATTTATCATGCAGCTGCCTTGAGGGCCAGGCACTCGAAATGATGAAAACCCTGACAATGATTTGCAAATTTTATGGTTCGAAGATCATTATGCGTAAGTATCAGGAGCCAGGTTCATCGGTTCTTTTAATTCTCTTTCGCGACATATCGAGCTTTCGTGAGAGTTGATAGGCAGATTAAAATGAAGAGCGTGTTCTCCATGACTTTTTCGTCCAGTAGGACTGCAGTTTTGATCCCGTGTCCACTTTCTCCATAATGGTGAAACATCAGAGAGGAAACAAGAGAGAGGGCTATCTTAAGCTAGCCCCACTCGCCACGTAGCGCACTCTAGCCCAACGGGAAGCGAATGTGGCTGAACAGGGGCTGGTGTCAAGCCCGGAGGGAACTCGACGCGCACGAAATGCCGCTCCAGAGCCAGGCAGAGCTCTCCAGGTATATCCCAGTGGGGATGCCTCCCAAGCTTCATATCAGTGTATCAGGGAGGGACTGTAGTGTCTGGTCATCGTTACCAGGGGTTTGCAAGCCGAAACATACATTTCGGGAACAAGAACCAGCATTTGTTATGTGTACGCATCTGGATTCGTGTATATTGACGTAGATAACCCAGATTGGGCTTTGATTGCCAAATTTAGATAGCGACTGCAAGGCTGAAGAAAGGGCACGCGATATTGAAGACGAACACACGCAAGGTGCGCGTTCAATGCCGATGCGCGCGATGCTGGATTGGGCAATGTGCCAACCTCCAGGGAACACTGCATCTCTCCCTGATTAGGACTAAAGTCAGCGGAGCAAGCAGCGCATGTGGGTATTATTGCAGGCTGGTGCGCCTGAGACAGGAAATCCTCTAGGTATTTATCACCCTAGCTTGTAAGAGATTAATTGTCGCCAGGCCCCATCACCACTGACGTAGGATCATTTCAGGGCTGTAGTCCGTTCGTAGGACCATTTCAGGACTATAGTCCGTTCGGGTTAATTCCCTCGATACTACTCGACAGGCAAGTAGCTAAAAAAGAGAGCCTAGGATTCAAGGAGACAAGACTTCCTTGTGGTTGGCGCTCTCTGCATTTCTTATTGTTGTGTTCAATGACAGGCCCATCCCTGGAAATCCGCTTCATGATACGCGCCAAATTATCCATAACATTCAGCCGCTGGAAATTGCAGACGTTGCACTGAGATTCAAAGATTGCTGAAGCATTGCCGCCATGGTGTTGTTTCAGGTTTTTTTGGTTTGCTTATTCATCTGCGTTTCTCTGTCGGCTAATGAAGGTAATTCCAATGGAAAAGGTCAATATTTTATTCTCTTCTTTTTTTGTTGACCCCTCCTCGGCCCCCCTCTTCCATTTCAGCGACGAAGTACACATTCTTCGGACCCGGGCGCAGGCCGTGTTGTATTCACAGAAATATCTTGAAAATTGTGCCAAGAAATATCCCGTTCCCCACACTTCAGAAGATCTTTCTCTTCTAGAATTCCAAGCCGTGAACAGACACACCTGGTCTTTGTGCGGGGTAGAGCAGTGGGACGAGAAAATGAGAGATAAAGCAGAGAGCGGCAGAAGAGCTCCCATTCGTGATTCTTAAGTGCTGGAAGTGAAGAGCTGGCGAGACCTGATGATAATGGAGGGTGACGAACTGGGATGAGTGGTGAGCTTACATAGTAAGATGTTGGCGATGCTCCGATAGGCCGCCTGCAGACATAAACCATGTCCAATAGCTCTGAAGACATGAATAACGCGGGAAGCGAAAATCCTGTATCATATTCATTATTGCCGTGATCACGAGCCTGGCGACCTCTCTATGGACATGGTTAATCCTTTTCATCGCCGACAGGGAGCGAAGCAGACACTCCGCTGTGTCAATTATTGTTGGTCATTGCGTCATCGCCCTGGCCTATATCCTCGTTGCTATTACTCCGTAGCATGGATTTGTATTCGGAGTATTCCGTGGTGTTCTCCATTCGAACAATTGGACAATTCATGCAGGTAAGAGATTTGCTAATTCTCGCCCTGTCCGTGTGTTAGTTGGTCTTCAGGCGGTGAAGAGAGATTCCACACCATACCATACCATACCACGATGATAAATAACTCAGTTGCGGGGCTTTGCAAGCAAAAAAAACGGCTCCCAAACTGCTAGACGTCGCATGAGCCGTGGCGGAAGCTTCGTTCGATCAGTGGAGGTTAAAACTTAGAGTTAGGTTTCAGCGCTTGGATTCGAAGTTCAGGCGCGCGATACAGAAGGGAGACAGAGATGAGGGCTAGTAATGAGGGCACGATTGAATATAAATTTAGTTTTAATTTTCAGGAAATACGCAATCCATTAAAACAGTGAAATCAAGAGTTGAGCAAGAAAGATCCCATGGCCCATGACTTCCGTCGTTGTGAGGAGTTCATGGTGACATACATTACGATATCAAATTGGTTTGACCGAAGCATGGGCTCAAAACTTAACAATTAGTTACAAGAGTTGCACCGCAATCCAGAGT